TTCATACACGATCAGTATAAGTCGATGCTGAACCGCGATTTTGAGGCCGCGTTCGCGTACCCAGAGTGGATTCGCCTGACGCCGGCGGCTGCACCGCTGCCAGTGCATATGCCGCTGAGTCTCTTCTGGGACCCGCCGCACACGCTCAAGAACTGGCTGACCTCGTGCCGCATCGCTTATCGGAACTCGCAGCGTGCGAATGCGCCTCCACCGGCCCCTGTTGCCGCAGTCTCCGAACCGCTGCGCTCCGACAAGCTGCCGCCCTTGGCCGGCGCAGCCGACGCAGAGGCGCAGCTGCTTGCGGAGGAGCCACCAGAGGGCGAGGGGGAGGAGGCAGGGGCGGGGGCTGGGGCTGCGGCGCCGAGCGCAGACAGCCTGATTGTGCGGGTCGGCCGAGCCGTCTCGCGCGTCATCGACCGGCAGGAGGAGAGGGTCCAGGCGGCCAAGAGGGACCTGCGGGAGGTGCCGCCGAGGCTGCTGCATCCGAACTCAATGAACGTGGGGTTCCATCCGCAGTCGGTGCCCATCGCGGCCCGCGCCTTCTCGCTCGCCGTGGCGAGCGACGCACGCGCACACGGCGACACAGAGGCTGCTGAAGTGATTGAGCGGCTTTCAAGCTGGTACCTGGGCTGCACCGCGCGAGGCTACGCGCCCGCAGTCAGGTGGGAGACGGCTGACCAGGCGCCCGCCTGCGGTGCGGCGGTTGTGAGCTTCACCCCATAGAGCTCACTCATTGTCCTGCCCGCGCCCGTAGATGGACCGTCTGATTCTGGACAAGCTGGACCCAGACCTGCAGTGGGGGCCGGTCCACTCGGCGGGCCGAAAGGTCAAGGCCATGCACGGCCGGGGAGGCTTCAGCCGTGTGTCCGCGCAGGCCGTGCTGATGCACAACGCGGCGAGGACCGTCGTCGAGGCGCAGCTCGGGCCGGACGCGCAGCTGCTGGTCAAGGATCGCATTCAGGGCACGGATCTGTGAGCCGGTAGATGCTCACTTTTAGGGAGCCAACTACGAACGATTCTCGAGAAGTAGCAACTTTTATGCTGATCTCCGCCACTCACCTCGCCCACACTTTACGCACATCCCCGCGGCAATTAGATGATACCGAACTCGAAACTGAGCCTCGACACACGTACTCACTACTCTTGGTACTCAGCGCCACACACTGCACAATGACGAACATGTGTGAGAACTCACGCGCTCGCGCACAGGCCCCTCTCTATCTTAATCCCTCCGATTGGCACACACCTAACACATATACCCATTCGCCGACCACCACACGGAATAGGTGCGAGAATACGAATTCGATGGCCCGCTCCAAGCTCGGTGACAAGGCGCCGCCTTCCCTTTGGAGGCGATGGCTCCGGCGCATCACGGAGGTGGCGCAGCAGCAGCTGCGGTCGGCGGAAGAATCACACTACCCTATCTTCGCTACGGCGCACGGCGTCTACGAGCGGTGGAAGTATATTGCGGGCTTCCGCGGCTGCCGCTGCACCCCCCCATGCCGCCCGGGTGCGGAGGCTGCTGGTTGCGAAAGCTGCCGGCCCGCCAACCGCAAGACTGCGGTGGAGACCAAAGCTCTCGACCGGGCGTCGGGCGCCGCGCAGCAGGGTATGCGGACCGCCATTCACCGCCAGCCGGCGCGAGCCGCGCTGCAGCGGCCTGAGCCGCCGGCTCCGGCCGCGCCCGACCCAGGCCCGGCTCCGGCCGTGACCACGGCCGAGCCGGCGGCGGCCGCGCAGCAGGGCGCGCCACCGCACATGCCGCTCGCCGCGCCGGGCGGGGCCGTCGGCGGCGACGCACCGGACGCTGTCGTCATCGAGGCGGCAGACATGGTGGAGCTGGAGGCGATGGAGGCCGAGACGGAGGACGGCACCGCGGCGGTGCACGCGACCGTCACCGTGTATGCCGGTGTCGTGGAGGGTATGATTGTCGGGTAGGAGTTTTGAGACATGGTGTGCGTGGTTGTGAGTATGCACTGTAAACGAGACGCGATCACGCTTTTAGCGCGACATTGAACGGGCTCCACCTCGAGAGGGCGTCTCGCGTGCGCGGTGCCGCTTGGGCGGGGCGGGAGAGCAGAGGCACCGGAGAAGCGGGTCATGGCACGCCAAGAAACAGCCGGTGGAGCATTTGGGGCTGACGGAGCAGAGCTTTATTGACTTGGCGGAGAGGGACGAGCGGCGCGGCGCCGCCGAGACGCGCGTCCTGCGCTCTCACTCAGGGACGGGCACCTTGAGCTTGACCTAGAGAGTACCAGTACGGTAGAGTATACGCGGCTTTGCGGCCCGACACATCTTCACATGTCGTCGAGGAGGCAGCATGTTCGAGCGGCAAGATCCGTACATACAGGGTGTCACGGTGGGGAGATTTGCGCTCTCGCTCGGTTGTCGCTGGCGCTCTCAAGTGTCAAGTGAGCCGGATGAGGCTGTTCAGCGACTGTGGTGTGTGGACTCCTCATGTGGCGAGTCTCCTCCAGAGTCACCTCGCTGACTCGGTTTTGTGTTCTCGTTTCAAGTCAAAACGCACAAAGCACAGCACACGCCCAACAGCACCACACAATACTCAATACTTCATACGACTCGGCGTCGCGGGGGCACCATGGGGGGGGGCACACACTCGGATGTGCGCCACGGCCAGGACATCAGACCTCTAAACGTACAGGGCAGACGGGCCAGGGCGCCCGAAGCCCAGTCCCGCAGCCGGCGAGCTCTGCGCCTCGTCAGAGCTTCGCCCTCTATCGACAAGGAGAAGTGGAGGGGGAGCGGGGGAGGGGGGGCGGCCGCGATGGGGCGCAGCACCGGCGCGCAATATAATGAAGGGGCGCACCGGCCCTTTGCTTGCGCCCCCCGCGCCTCTGCTCGCGCCCCCGCCCCCCGCCCCCCCCGAAGGGGCGGGCGGGCGCCGCTCAGGCGCAAAAGTTGCCCACCCCGGGCAGGAAGCGGCACGGGTTGTGCATCGTCTTGCCCTCGCTGCTGAGCAGCTCGTCGAACTTTGCGTCGACGAGGGCGGCGGCCATGCGGCGGTTGGTGGCGTCGTAGGTGGCGCGCAGCTTCTCGTCCTCCTTGGTGGGCGTCTCGGCGAACATGCCGCGCTTGCGCTTCGCGTCGGCCGCGAACTGGTCGTACGAGACGAACATGACGTTGATCAGGACGCGGAAGAGGTTGAGGCGGTACGACCGCCAGCAGTCGTCGAGCGAGTAGCCCTCGACGCCGTCGCGGACGAGCCGCTCGTGGTAGAGCAGCATGAGCTCCGCCTCGCAGGTGCGGCGCAGCTCGGGCTCGATGTTTTGCGCGAGGAAGTAGGCGACGTCAAAGCCCGCCTGCGGCCGGGGGGGGGGGGGGGGTGACGGCGGCGGCGGGGGGGGGGGGGAGGACACGGACGGCGGAGGCGAGAGGCAGGCAGGCGAGGGGCAGGCAGGCGAGGGGCACGGAGGCGAGGGGCAGGGAGGCGAGGGGAGGCGGCGGGCGGGCGGTGGCGGCGGCAACGGCCAGCGGCGGGTGGGCTCGGGATGTGGGCCTGGGGAGTGGCGGCGGTGGCGGCGGCGGCGGAGGGAGGGGCGGCGGTGGGGAGTGCCCGCCTGCGCGATGCAGATGTTTCCGAAGTCAATCATCTTCATGCCGGTCGGGAAAGACTCGTCGAAGAAGATGTTGTCGAGGTGGACGTCGCCGTGGCAGAGGGTGAGCGGCGGCTTGTACACCTCGCGCACGAACCACTTGAGCTTCTGCATGATCACCGGCTTCATCGCGAGCACCGGCTTGTAGGTGTCTCCCCAGCAGCGCTGTAGCGCCGGGAAGCCCTTGTTGACTGAAAAGATGAGCGCGTTCTTGAAGAGGCCCATGTGGTCAGTGCCCGGCGCCGACACCCACGTCAGCGGCTCCTCCTTCTTCGACGCCTTCCACCACCGCGCGTGGAACGAGGCGAGCGATGTCATCACCAGCCGCAGGTGCTGCAGGTTGTCGCAGCCAGACGTGCGCGAGTAGAGCGGCTTGGGCATCATCTCGACGAGCATGCAGAAGACAGGCTTCCGCTTCCAGAAGCGCTTGTGGAAGAGCTTGGCGCCTGCGACGACACGCTCGACGCGTCGTGGGCTTGTCGCGGCCGTGCCCGGCGGTTGCGCGAGCGGCGGCGGTGCGAGCGGCGGCGGTGCATGCGCGGTGCGGGTGCGGCGGTGCGGGCGCGTGCGGCGGTGAAGGGGTTGGGAGTGGCGGGAGGGAGTGGCAGGAGGGAAGGGAGAGAGTGTCGAGGGCTGGTGTGGCAGGAGTGAAGGGGAGCGGCGTGGCGTGGCTTCGCGTGGCAGGAGGGGCTGGCAGCGGCAGGAGGGAGCACCGATGAAGAAGGCGGCGGGCCTGCCGAGCCCCTGGTCGAGCTCCTCCATGTCATTGTACCAGTGCGCCTCGGCGCCGAAGATGGAGCGGAGCATGAAGCCCGGCATCGAAGTCTTGCACTGCGGGGCGCGCGCGGGACGGGTGAGCTGCGTGCGCTGCGAGCTCTCCTTCCTGCCGGTGCGGTGGGCGCGGTGGCGGCGACGCGCGTGCGAGAGAGAGGGCGGCGCACCGGCGAAAACTTGGCGACGAACTGGAGCGGCGCGTGCGCCTCGGCGTTCTCGAGCTCGACCGTGCAGATGGCGAGCAGGCCCATCACACCCTCGCCCTCACCGAGCGGCTTCACATTGCACGAGGTGACCTTCCCGCCCTCTTTGAGAAAGCCGCGCATCGTGTAGACCTCAGTGAGCCACTCGGACGTGATGCCGATCGTCGACTGCACCAGCGGAACCGAGGGCCGCTGGCCGACCGGGAGGTAGCCCTCCGGCCGCGTGATGTTGCTGCAGTCTGACTTGTAGGACTTGTTCGTCGTTTTCTGCGAGCTCAGCTTCACTTCCGAGAGGGCGACGACGGCCGGGTCGCTCACGGTGACGGACTTTTGGCTGGTGACGGCGGGCGCGCTCTGGCCCTCGGTGTCGACCGTCTCGAGCTCCGCCTCCGTGGCCATGACGAGCACAAGGCAAGTAGGATGCAATTCGCGCGGATACCAAAGGAAGGCCGAACCGATGGCGGGCAAGGAGTGGGTAGGTCGAGGCGCCAATATGGCGGCCCCTTTTGGGGGCCCCTTGCGCAGTGTGTCACTCACTTCACACACACACACCCCTTGCACACGCCCACCGCCCCGCCTAGGTCGGAAAGAGATGAGGAGATGAACAGCCCGAGGAAAGGCTGACTAACAAACACGTATGGGAGGTAGGTTACAAGGTGGCGTCGTCGTCACGCTGCCCGCTTCCCGGGACACAGCCTCCGGGTCGCCTCCGGGTCGCCTCACGCTGCCCACCTCCGGGTCGCCTCCTCAGCCGGGGGTACGCCTCAGCTCATACCCGTAGCCTTGCGGCTGGCCGCCGTCGGGCCGAAGCGATCGAGTCGCCGCTGGTGGCTGGAGGATGGATTCCTCTTCTGTGGTGGGCGCCCGCGGCCGCGAGACCGACCCCTCGGCCGGGTCCACTCGTCGTCCCGAGGAGCCTCCCCTCGCGTCCTCCCACCCCTGCCGGCGTCTCCGCTTGCCAGGCGGCGGAACCACTCCACTCGTCCCAGCCTCCCTCGCGCGGCCCTGCGGGATCCCCAGTCGTTCGATCTCACCGCCTTCCCCGCTTCGGGTCCCCCCTTGCTATGGCTTCCGCTCGAAGCACTTGGAGCACTTGGAGTGCAGTCATCAACCGCACATCCAGGGCCGGGGGGCTGAGAAGCACACCCAGCGAGCCGGATGATTGGCATCGGGTTGCGGGCAAGAGAGCCCTAGCCCCGGGGGTGCGCGTTCGCAGGGAAAGGGCCTTAAAGTAAACACGGGTCTCCGAGGGTTGGTTCCGTGACCGTGTACCGAAGTATCAGCATCCTCCGGATCGACCGGCTATGGCACGGGAACCCTAGGGTCACTCCGTGGCACCGGCACTTGAGGGCGTAGCTAGCTCCATCTCGTGAGACCGACCACGCCGTTCTCCACAGCGCGTTGTCTAGCTCCCTCCGTGTCACCTCAAGTTGGTGTTGGTGTGTATCCGGTCTGTCTGCGTGACGAGTCCCGTTCTGTTGTGCGTGCCGAAAGGTAGCGCGACTGGGTTGCCAAAAGACGTGCCACGCGATACGTCCTTCGACTCATACCCCTCCGGGGCTTCCTGACCTGCTCCACAGCATACCAACGGCGGCTAAAGGGGCTGGCTTCGACGGGGTTGCATTCTCGGCAGAATGCCTCCCCGATCGGCACCAGCCTCATCTCACACGACTGGCAGTACGCCTCCGAGGCAGAATTGGCCCGTGCACACGGGTATGCCGGTGCCGTCCCTCGCTCGTCAGCTGTCAGAGGTCGCTGCCTCTTTGGCATCGTCCCGCCTCCACACCCCGCGGAGTCGTTTTTCTTCTTCGTGGCGCATGTACATGAACACTCGCCGCCTCGCCGACCTGGCTCGGGGCGACCTGGCCTCGCTGCGCGATTTCCTCTCCGGGCGGCGGACGCGCGGCACGTCGCTCGCGGCCCAGCTCGACGCACGGCACGACACCGAGAAGCAGGACACGCTGCTGACCTGGGCCGCTCGGCACGGGCAAGCCGAGGCGGTACGGCTGCTGCTCGAAGCTGGCGCGAGCGTCGGGGCGGCGAACGGCGTTGGCTTCACCGCGCTGGCTATTGCGTGCCTAGAAGGCCAGCTTGAGATCGTCCGGCTGCTCCTCGAGGCCAGCGCAACGGTCGACCAAGCCCTGAACAATGGCGGCACGCCGCTGCTCATCGCGTGTGCGAAGGGCCACGTCGAGTGTGCCCGTCTGCTCCTCGAGGCCAGCGCGGCGATCAACCAAGCCAGCAACAATGGCGCCACGCCTCTGTTCGTGGCTTGCCAGGGGGGGCAGCTCGAGTGCGCCCGGCTGCTGCTGAAGGCTGGCGCGGCGATCAACCAAGCCAGCAACAACGGCGCCACGCCTCTGTTCGTGGCGTGCCAGCAGGGCCAGCTCGAGAGCGCCCAGCTGCTCCTGAAGGCTGGCGCGGCGGTTGACCAAGCCATGAACAACGGCGCCACGCCGCTGTACATCGCGTGCCACAACAACCACCTCGAGATCGCTCGGCTGCTCCTTGAGGCTGGCGCGGCGGTCAACCAGGCCGATGCGAACGGCGCCACGCCGCTGTACATGGCGTGCCAGGGCAACCACCCCAAGTGCGCCCGGCTGCTCCTGAAGGCTGGCGCGGCGGTCAACCAAGCCAGCAACAATGGCGCCACGCCGCTGTCCATCGCGTGCCACCTCAACCACCTCGAGATCGCTCGGCTGCTCCTTGAGGCTGGCGCGGCGGTCAACCAGGCCGATGCGAACGGCGGCACACCGCTGTACATGGCGTGCCAGGACAACCACGTCGAGATCGCCCGGCTGCTTCTCGAGGCTGGCGCGGTGATCAATCAAGCCATGAACCGTGGCGCCACGCCGCTGTTCATCGCGTGCCGCAACAATCACATCGAGGTCGCCCGGCTGCTGCTCGAGGCGGGCGCGGCGATCAACCAGGCCAATGAAGACGGCGCTACGCCCCTGTACATGGCGTGCCAGGACAACCACGTCAAGATCGCCCGGCTGCTTCTCGAGGCTGGCGCGACGGTCGACCAAGCCAGCAACGATGGCGACACGCCGCTGATCATCGCGAGCCAGGACGGCCACCTCGAGGTCGCCAAGCTGCTCCTCGCGGCTGGCGCGGCGTTCGACCAAACCACGAACCGCGGTGCCACACCTCTGTTCGCCGCATGCCACCAGGGCCACCTCGAGGTCGCCAAGCTCCTCTCCTCCTACGGCGCCTCCCGCGCCGCAACGCCCTTCGGCACGCCCGAGGAGGCCGCAAACAGCCGCGGCCACGCCGACCTCGCCGCCTGGCTGGTCGCCAGCCGCGGCTGGACGCCGCTCCAGCATCTCGAGGCTTGCCCCAAGACGAGCGGCCAAGGGCGTGCGTGCATTGTCCTCACGCGCATTGTCCCTCTTCCGCAGGCGATGACTGTCGAGCGGGCGCGGGCGCTGCTGCGCGGCGGCGCGGACTCTTCAGCCGGCGAGCCTTCTGCCCTCGAGCGGGCGCGCGTCCTCTGCTCGTGGGGCGAGTCGGATCCGACCGCTGCGGCAGTCGGTTCCACAGTCGCGATCCACTCTCTCGTCTCGCGGCCTTCGATGAACGGCAAGGTCGGCGTGGTCGTCTCCGCAAACGCTTCGACGGGCCGATTCGGCGTGCGCGTGGCGGGCGAGGCCAAGGCACTCGCACTGAGGCGCGCAATGCAATGGTCTCTCCCCGACTCGCCGGATCCTCTCTTTGACACACCTCTGCCCTCCCTCAGGCCCGCCAACCTGCAGCCAGCGGCCGAGGTGGAGGTGGGCAGGCTGGTCCTCAAGGCGGCGGAGTGGTCGCCGCAGTCGCACGAGCTCTTCCCGGAGGCGGCTCGCAAGCGAGCGGTGGAGGTGATGCATCTGGGCTACCTGATTGCATGGGACGAGGAGCGCTTCGATAGCCGCGAGGGAGCGGCTCCGGAGCTGGCGGACATCTGGCGCGGCTTTGTGCTGCCAAGGGTGGTGGTGCGATGACTGCTTCGGTCCTGTTCTCCTCTTGGCAGCCAAACCCCGGTTTGGTGGTGCTACACTGCTGCGTTTTTTGTCATGGCGTTCTTCTTTTTATACCCAGACCAAACGAAGAGAAAATGCAGGAAGGATGCGCCCAGCTCGGCGCACGGCGGACGCGCGTCGCGCCGCGGCGGCCCACACGTGCCGGGGCGCGCGCACGCGGTAACGCCGCGCGGCACACGTGTGCCACGTTGAGCTCTCGCGGCTGCGGAGCTCGACGCGCGGCACGACACCGAGAAGCACGACACGCTGCTGTGAGATGCCTGGGCCGCTCGTCACGGCAGGCCGAGGCGGGGGCGGGTATACGATTCTTTTTTAGCAGCAGCAGGGTCGGTGGAGGGATAAGGTTAAGGAGGAACGGCGGCACAGGCCGCCCCACCACAGAGACACACGGAGACACGGGGACTTTGTAGAATTTAAGGAACGGAGCGCGGCGCGACGCTACCTCGGCGCGTGGGCGATGCCACGCAGCGCCGGATCGCGCGGCTCATGGGCCGCTCGAAGCCGTAGGTAAGCAGCCACCCGAGGAAAATCGAGAGGGGCAGCGTGGCGGCGGTGCCCCACTTGGGCATCAGCATGAGCGCCCCTCCTGCCCTTCCCTTGCTTGCAGCCGATCTCCAGACCTCTGGGCCACCGTTGGTGGCGAACGCGCCCGGCCACAACACACCGTAGGCGGCGAGTGTCATGTAGATGATGAGCGTCTGATGGACGACATAGACGGCGAGGCTGATGTTGGCGAAGCGGCGCAGCGGCTCCGAGCCGAGGAAGGCGTGCGTCGTCGAGGGCGGCCTTGGCGCGCTCGCCGGGTACGCGAGGGCGACGATGAGTTCATAGAAGAGGATCGGCAGCGCCGCCTCGCCGGCGATGCGGCAGAGGTAGCCGAAGCCGGCCGAAGTGAGGAAGAGCTGCTCGAGGATGCCGAGGACGACGATGAGGAGCCACACGAGGAGGAGCGCCGTCGCATAGTGCCGGCGGCACGCCTTGGCGAGCGAGTAGCAGTTCTGCGAGAGTGCCGGGTCCTTGGCCTCGAGCTCTGCCTGGCGCGCGGCGAGCATGCCCATCACAAAGGTCGGCAGTCGAATCGGCGGCCACACTCTTGCCCACCAGTATCCCAACTCGCCGCCGAAGATGGCTCCAGCACCAAAGAGCATGCAGACGAAGAGCCCCAGCTGGATGCCGTACAGTGCGCACGCAAACGTGCGCACCTGCTTCGGGTGGACGCGAGTCAGGTGGATCGCGATGCGTGGGAAGAGGAGGTAGAAGAACGTCATGGTGGAGATCGTCCAGAGGTGGCCCGCCGGCGGGAAGAACAGGACGGTCCACGAGTTCAGGCCGAGCGGGAAGAGGGAGAGCACGAAGCCCCCCCACCACCACGCGCCCGTTGCATGGGTGTGGCCCGTGAAGTACAGCGGCACCGCGAGCAGGTTGCCCAGGTACCAGAGCGGCCCGATGCGCGCGAAGCGCTTGATGTAAAAGTCGCGCGCGCTGAGCGGCGGCAGCGGCGCCTCCGCCGGTTCCGCCTCCACCTCCTTGGTCGGCGCGCAGAAGCACGGGAAGCAGCAGCCCGCGTTGGCCGAGGTGCCGTCGCCGCAGCAACTCGTGTCGGTGCCTCGCGGCACCGGGCGCACACTGCCGTATCCGAGCATGAGGACGAATCCGCTGATGATGTAGAACAAACTCATCGACGCGCCGCCGATCAGGTCGAGACCCGACGTGGTGCGGTGCATCGGGTCGTCCGCTGGAATGTAGCTGCCACACGTGACGCCCACGAGGTCAGTATAGTTCGTGGACGGTAGGCAGCACTCATACGCGTGTGGCCCTCGGATGTGGCCCTCGTAGAAGGCGTGTGGCCACATCCGACCCGTCATGCGAGCCTCGCCGAGGGCGCACGTGCATCCATCGAAGTCCGAGCCGGCCCAGCAGTTCAGAGAGCCGCCTGTGCACCATTTAGTGCTGCACCCGAAGGCGTCTGCCTCGTCGGCGTCGGGTGCTTCCTGCGTGGACGGTGTGGTGTGCGCAATGTAGCCAGTGTAGGTGCTGTGGTGGCCGAGTACGATGTGCAGCACGGCGATGGCGCGGAGGCCATCGACGGAGTTGGTGTTGAGCAGCCGCATTCTCAGGACAAGGGCGAACAGGGGCGAACAGCGTCCCGGGGCGACTTGGACAACGTCAACGACAACAGCTGGTTTCCTTTTTCTTTGAATTTGCCTTCGTTGTTAATAGTACAAACCCAATGGTCTCTTGCGAGCGGTCCTTTTTCTTTCGTTCCCTCCCAAAAGCCCTAGTCTGGACGGTTCTTGTGTCAGATCGACACGAAATAGAATGAGATAGAATGAGATAGCCAGATGCGCCAGATAGCGCCAGATAGCGCCCCAACCCGCCGCTGCGGCGGGCGCCCCGCCCCGGCCTCTCTCGCCGCGCGCCTGCCTGTGGCACCGTGCTCTCTCGCCTCACTACGACCGCCTAGATGGTGCCGACGGCTGCCTTCCACGCCCGGTGCTCCTCAGTGTTGAGGTCGAAGGTCAGCTTGAAGTCAGTCGGATCGGGCTTGGGGGGGCGGATCTGCTCGTAGCCTGCCTCCTCGCCGCCGAGGCGATCGGCCTCCTCGCAGGTGAGGCAGAGCGCACAGCCTGGTTGCGCATCGAGCCACTCCTTCGACTTGTGCTTGTTGTCAAGCGCCAGCCGCCACCGCTTCTCGAGCGCGATCGCCATCGGGTTGCTCGCGTGCCTCCCCATCCAGTGCGAGGACAGCTGCGACACGGCGCTCACGCCATTGAGCACGCGGTGGCTCTTCTTGCACGAGTCGAAGGGGCAGATGAGGACCACGGGGCTCGGGTGGTAGTCGGCGTTGCCCATCACCTTCTCTGTGAGGTCACGGCCCTCAAAATACTTGGCCAGGTACTCTGGCTCCGACCGCATGATGTCGCTCGAGGCGGGCTTCCACGAGAGCCGGTCACGTAGCTGCGCGTCGAGGCCGTCACGCCTAGATGGAGCCTTTCAGCTCGTCGAGCTTGGTGGTGGAGGCCTCCTGCTTGCGCGTGCGCGGCTTGGACTTGGCCTTGAGCTTCTTGCCCACGAGCCCACGTCCACAGCGCAGATCTCGACCTCGACCGTGACCTCCGTCTCGTCCACAAGCAGCTGGCCCAGCCGCTCGATCTGAAAGCGCGCGGTGGACAATTGGTCGCGGACCTTGAAGAAGAGCGCCTGCTTGCCGCTGAACAGCACCTTGCCCTGCAGGCCGATCTTGACAGAGGTGGGAATCTCGAACGGACTCGCGCAGGTACGACTCGAGGCGGCCCCAATCCTCGGCCGTGACGATGGAGTCCACTCGCAGCTCCGCTTGCGAGCAGCGTAACGTCGAAGGTGTCCTCATCGATCCGGGTCGTCCTGCTTGATCAGGAAGCGCCACTGGAGCAGGGCCGCCTTGGCGGTGGCAGCCGTCTGCACGCGTGCGTAGGCGTCCCTCGCCATAGTACTATGCCATAGATGATAGAGCTGGCTGGCGGGAAGCGTCTATGGATACTATGCGCGCAGCGCGAAGAAGAACAGAAAAACGGCTCTTGAATAGGCGAGATCGCTGCGAGATCGCACGAGATAGAACGAGATAGCGCCGACTGACCAATCCCCCCATCGAGGGCCAACAGCAGAAGAATCGTGCTTTTTGTGAGGTTGTTTGGTGTTGGGTTGTTTGTGTTGTTTGTACTCGAAGGCAAGTGCGTCTCTTCACATAAACGCGTCTGTTCACAGCTCGCGGGACGGCCGTCACGGGCGCCTGTCCGCGAGCGCCTATGCGTGGCTGGAGCGAAGGGGGGAGAGCTCAGGAGGGCGACGGAGCGTAAATTCACCGCACGCCTTGCCGACGCGCGCGGAGAGGACCGTCGCCGACATCAGTCCCTCCTGGCCGTCCATACACACCGCGATAAATGAAGAAGGGCTTCCTCAGCGGCGCGGCGACGCCCAAAGCGGCACGCACGAGCGCGGGTCCGGCCACCGCATTCTTTAACACTCTCACCGACTGGCAGCGCGACATATTGGCGGGCATGGGCGGCATGACCGCGCAGGAGCGCTCGGAGTTTGGCAACGCGCTCGTCGCCACAGCGACCGCATCGCAGTCCACTGGCGGCGGCGCATCGGGCCTCGAGGGCCTCAGGTCCGCTGGTGGCACCGGCCCTGCATTTGTGGCCTTTGGCGAGCGCGCGGTCCTGCACCGCTACATCTCGCAGCAGCAGCTGGAGCGCATCGCCGCGCGGCTGACGTCCTACGCGACGGCGGAAGAGCGCGAATCCGAGACGGTCAAGGCCATGCGCCGCTTCATCGCTTGCAGCCAGCCCCTAAGCCAGGTCCGACTGGTTGGCTGCCCGGTTCGGCACAAGGTCGCGGAACACGTTGACCTGAACGGTCTCAAGGCGCGGATGGATCTCATGAGCGCGATGCCGGGCGGTACTCCCGAGCGGTATAACGTGAACGTAAAGATCCCTGGAATGGACGACGAGGACGACGAGGACGACGATCCGTGCCACATCGTGGTAGTCGAGCCTAAGCACCTGCGGCCGGCCCCACTCGGCGAGTGCATGCGCGACGAGTACCACGAGAAGATCCCGGAGGATCACGTGGCCGACGCCTGGTGGGCCGAGAAGGAGGAGCACTGGCAGCAGATGCAACGAATGGGCATGGGCAGAATGGGCCCGCCGCGGCCCTCTTGAGCTGATGTGCTTTTGGACCGGCCGGTCCTGGCGTGGAAGACGGCGGCCATCCGCGATCTAGTGTGCGTGCGGTCGGGGTGTCATCCTGCAGGCTCCTTCCCCTATGGCTATACGAGCTGGAATCCTGGTCGGCCGGGTGGGGAGGGGGAGGGGGGGGGGGTATATGGTCCTGTCGGCTGGAATCCTGGTCTGCTGTAGGAGTTAGGTTAGGTAGAAAGGTGAAGAACAGTCAGGCTCGGAAACTGGACGGTGGGGAGGTACGCCACCATACCATGCATCGACAAAAGTCGAACCCATCAGCACCGTGTGCGACGTGTAGTCCCGCGACTCATGTCCTGCTCGGCACCAAAATCAGCCTCCTCCCCTCGCATCTACGTGTACTCACTGCCCAAGTCGGTGGTTAGGCCGTGCAACGACTGGCGAAACACGTGTAGTCTCGCGCAGTGGATCCGAAAGTCCAAGCACTTCGAGCCCAACGGCGAGTGCGCCGACTACTTCTTGGTGCCGCACCACCCGACGGGCGGGAATCCGACGGGCAGCGAGGCGGCGGGCGACTATGCCGTCGGGCGCATGTTCGACTATATCCGCCAGACGTGGCCCTTCTGGAACAGGAGCGTGGCCGACGCGACTGCGCGGCACTTCTGGCTTCTTCCCTGCGATCACGGCCCGGGAGACTGCGCATTTTCGCGGCCCATCGTGCCAAACAAGTACTCCTCCGGCAAGCTCACCCCGCGGCGGCCCGTCCGCTTTGGCCCCGTGCAAGCGCCAGCAAACGACCGCTGGCTGCGAGACGCGTGGGGCGAAGGCTGGGAGGCGCTCAACCCGGCCTCTCCCGCGCGGCTGCTCTTCAACCTGCAGTACAACGGGTGGACCGACGGGTTGCGGGCTCCGTCGGGCAGCTGCCTCAACTGCTTCCAGCCCTGGCTCGACGTGCGGCTGCCCACGCCTGAAGAGCACGAGTGCGGGCCCTTGTGCGGCTTGCACCGGTCACAATCGGGCCAGAGGGTGCCGACGCTGCTGCAGCGCGAGCTGCTGCGCGTCTCATCCCCTCGCGCGCAGCCGCCGCAGCCGCAGCCGCAGCAAGTGAAGGTGGCTCAGCCGGCACCGCCGCAGCCGGCGCTTCCGCGTGGCAGGCGGAGGAGCAGCCCCGCCGCCGGCTCCTCGGCAGGAGCAGGTCGCTTGCTCGCCCGACATCTGTCCGAGTCGAGCCGGGGGGGGGAGGGGGGAGCGGCGGAGCACGTCTCTCTGGACTGCGTGCCGTACGGACGGGCGCGGTTCGACGTCCCGTCCGCGGAGGGGCGGCGGCTCGAGCTCGCGGGCGCCGCTGGGCCGCTGGGCAAACTGCGCGACTTTCTGAGGCGCGCGGGTTCGTGGAGGAACCGCTCGACACGCGGACGGCGCCTGGACTCTTCTCGGAACCTTCTCGGAACCTTCTCGGAGCCCTCGCCCCGTAGGAACCGCTCGCTACGCAGCACGCGGCTCGCCTCCTGGCACGCGCCGCGGCGGGGCAGCAGAGGGGCGGAGGACGAGAAGCGCCACGAGAAGCGTCTCGGGGCGAGGCCGTCTCTCGGGGCGAGGCCGTCTGCTCGTTTGGCGGGCTCGAGAGAGGAGGAGGAGGACGCCCCGGCGTTTAAGAAGGTGCTGAAGGCGGCGGGGGGCGGGAGGACGGTGCCGCCGGTGCGCGATCTGCCGCCGCGAGGGAGGGAGGGTGGGACGGAGGGTGGGAGGGTGGGAGGGTGGGAGGGCGGGAGGACACACCAGCGCGCACTTCCCGCCCCGCCGCGGCCCCTGGCTCCATCCTGTCCCTTGCCCCTGCAGGAGAAGCCCGCCGGCAGGTCCGCCCCAGCGGCACGCGGCGGCAAGGCGACGGGCGTCGAGGCGTCGCTTCCCCCCGCCGAGCCGCTGCCGATCCACCCCCGCCGAAACTGCACGCCCCTCTCGGGCGGGCGACACGGCTGCACTGCCATCCTCGGAGCCTGCTCGGGGCTGTCCCCGTAGGCACGCTCTTCTGGGCGGGCGCGGTGCGCTTCAACAACAACCGCGCCCGCCGCGCTCTGCTCGGCATCGCGGGCCAGAGCGGCGCGTGCATCCACGACACGCTCACGGAAAGCGACGCCGTGCGGCCTCTGTGCGGCCCCGCAGCGCAGGCGGGGAGAGGCGTCGGGTGGGGAGCCAGACTGAGAGCAGGTCGCTTTCTTGCTCTCTCCAGGCACCTCGCGATGCTGACGTCGCGCTTCTGCTTCTCGCCCCGCGGCTGGGACAACGGCGACTCGGACCGCTACTTGCCAGCAGTGCTGTACGGCTGCGTGCCTGTCCTGTCCGAGAGGCTCGAGGCGACGGCCCCCCCCCCACTGGGAGGGTTGGACTCTCGGGTGTCTCGGCGAACCTCGGCGAGCCTCGGCGAGTAGGCGATGCCCCTCGCCGAGCACCCGGAGATGCGCTGGCACGAGGCGGCGCTCTATGTCGAGGCGGAGTCCATCCCTCGGCTGATGGGCTGGCTGCGCAAGCTGCGGCGAGGCGCCGCGGCCGCGATGGTGTCTGCCGCCGCCGGCGTCTGGCCGCGCCTCCTGCACACGAGCCTGGTGTTTGGGAGCGGGTGGGTGCCGCGCGAGTGCGCAAGGTGCAGGGGCGGCGCGGGCCGGGGACGCGCCATTCGTTCGGACAGCGGTCCGCTGCTCAGTGCCGACGTGCGCCCCACCCGCAGGCCGAAGGGGAGGGAGGGGGCGGGGGGGTGAGGGGGTGAGGGCACGGCGTTCACGCTACTTAGGAGTGCCGGCGTGAGATGCCCGGCCCCGTCGCGGCGACCCTCGCGTCGCAACTCACCGCGGCCGGGCTGCAAGGCCTCGGCTGGACCGCCCCGCCCGCCGGGCTTTTCTCTCCCCCTTCCCTCCTGTGCCAAGGCTTCGGCCTCTCTCTGCCCCAGGCGTCGACGGCGGCGACGCGTGCACCCGCTCGAGCTATTTGGACGAGCCGCCGGAGATGGACGCGTACCACACGCTCATGGACATCCTCCGCGCTCGGCTGACCGCGCCGCCCGCGCCAGCGGAGCCTTGGATGGCCCAGGCAGCCGGTTCGGGGCACAACCAGTCCAGCTACTTCCGCGCTCGCGCGCACTGGTACACTCTTCAGGTCGCCGCGGACCCCGAGAGCATGCGGCCGGTCGAGGCCATCGCCCCGGCGCAGGCACGGCGCGATGCGTTGCGGGACGCGTGGCGGCAGCGAGCCGCGGGGAGGGAGCGGCGACCATTCACATCGGATCATCCGGCGAAACGCAAGACCAATCATCTCGTGCCTTATGGGCACTGAAATAAATTATCTAACTACACAAGAAAAATGTACACACCCGCCTGGATCCGGCGCGCCTGGGGGCCGCGAGCGATTGCGATCTGCGTGCGCACACAAGAGTCAAGACACAAGAGGATCCGGGCACCGGGGCCTCCCCCGGCTCCGCCAGACAGACTGACAGAGCTGAGACTACTCACCTTCCTACCACGTTACGGATCAGGCATCACCACACACCCCCTGTCCCTCACACTGTCGACTCCCCGGCGGGCTCGCCATCAGCATCGTCCAAGCACGAGGTACCCGCCGCACTGACGACGCACGCACTCTCCAGAGCGCGAAGCTTCGCCTCCGTCGACTCAAACGCCGACTTCTGGCGAGCCGCGAGCCAACCCTTGTACGGAGCCTTCATCGCCTCCTCGTCTCTGGGTAGCAAGGATGGCAAAAAGGCTCCGATCGGTTGGAAGTTTGGCCACAGCTGGGGATCGCGCGGCAGCGACTCCCCGGCAGATAGCAGCTGGAGCTCCCTCGGCATGGCGTTCCAGGCTGCTCCAATCGGGGAGCCCGCTCGCAGCTCGACTGACTCCTCTCTAAGAGCAGTCAGCGCAGTCAAATCGCGGGCGGAGAACGTGGCGAAGAACTCGATGACCGCCGGTTGCGCGCCCTTTTGCGCAAAAGCACTCAGGCCCATGAGCGCACTCGTGCCGAGGTTGCGTGCCAGCGAGAGCGCAGCTGCGTTCACCTTCCCTTGCCGCTCCAGCTGCTTGAACGGGTTGACAAGCTCGAAAATGCTCGACCCAGCCCGAGAGATGCTTCCCTCGGCTGACTGACGATACGCCTCACGGAGCGTGTCGACGGGCAGGGGTAGGTAGAACTCCTGCTCAATGAGCGCCCTCTGAATCTGCTGCGCCAGCTCCTTCACGCTGGCATCGTCCCAGTTGGCAGCTTTCTCCGCCCCGAGAGAGTCCTCGATCTGCTTGCCGATGGCCCCGGCGAGCCTCTCTGCTGCGCCCACAATCACGGGGTCCTGCACCTTTTTTGTCACCTCCCACTTTTGAGTTCGGTACCGCTGTGCGTTGAAGACGTTCCACTCCTCCGAGTAGCGCGTGAAGGCAAGTTCGGGATCCGGCAGCCCGTGGCAAAAATTGGCGGTCCCAGTAAGCCCCAAGTGGTGCGCCACGGCGCCCCACATATAAACCATGTCACTCTTCTCGCGCTGTGCAATGTTGGGCCCCGACCAACCCCGCTGCGCAACCGACTCGCGGCTCGGCCTCACCAGGTTGTTGCGCGGGTTGAGCACGACCGAGCTCTCTGTGACCATGATGGGCACCGTCGCGAAGGTGAACAGGGTCTCGGCTAGGTCGTACTGGTTGATGGGCACGCCATTCTTGCGGAAAAGCGGAAACCTCTCCACCAGGTCGTGCAGATTGGGCGCGTCTGCAGCAAGGGGTAGAGGGACGAAGTAGTCCCAAAGCTCCGTCTCGTCCGGCGCCGCGGCCTCCGCGAAGACGAAGACAAAGTCGTGGCCGTTGGCCTCGAGCAGATTCCTTCCACCGATTGTGGCACGCGCAACCTCCCTCGTGAGAGGGTGGTCCCGGTCGACCCTCCAAGTCTTGGGCACCACCTCGGCGGGAGCGCCAACCCACTTCTCCCACACTTTGTCATTTGTGCGCCCGAGCGCGTGGAAGCAGCGGACCGACTCGGCGCTCATACGCGCCGAAGAGTACGGGTCGGCCCAGCTGCCCCCTTGGAGCCAATCCTGCCAGTAGAAGCCCGTCTCGTCGTACCGTGCCAGCGCCCCTTTTGGCGTGGTGGTGCGCGGATTCACCTCGAGCACTTCGACTGCACGCCGCACCGCAAAGCCAGACATCAGCGCTAGCCCCAGGTTGCGCACGCTCTCGCCCACGCGGGAAGACCAGGCCTGCTGGCCCTGCTCAACACGCGCATAGTCGATCTGTGAATCGTCAAACTCGAGCGAAAGGGGCTCGGTCAGATCAGAGCATGGAGCGCTGCTGCTCTCCTTGGCGCGGCGCACCCAATCCCGTACTTCCTCCACCGTCGGCGTGGCTTCCGTCGTCCCGAGGCTGCTCTTGGGAATGACGCGGACAATCTTCTTGCCGGCGGCCACGCCGTATAAAAGCGGCTTGCCGTCGGGCGCACTCGCCACCACGTCGAGCATCGGGTCTCCTATGAAGTGGCCCTCGCTAATTATCTGACCCCACGGCCCTTCTGGCTTGAACGGCGGTTCTTGCAGCGTGTCGTACTGCCGCCACGCTGCAATGGACTCGGCAGAGTATGTCGGCAGGCGAGGCACAGTATTCCTCAGCGAAGCGCGTGCGGTCCTCTTCGGCTGTAGCGCCACAGGGGCATCTGCACCATCGTCGAACGCGCTGGCATCGGTCGCTTCCAAAATCGGCGGAACGGACATCTGCGACGCACGATGCCGCAGGAATCCGCGGCCAGCTGTGACCCGAATGGCGCCCAGCTCGGCAATGCCGCCCGCCAGCACCAGGAGCCCGGTGGCGGAGCGCAGCGACCACATATACTGCGATGGTACCGAGGGGTTCGAGAAGATGCTGGGCGCCGCTTTGCGGAAGTTGCGCATTTACGAATCGCGGGCGGGCGCCGGGTTTGGCTTTCTTTTCCCTACGTCTTAGGCACAACAACACTGGGCACGGAGAGGAAAATTCTTTTTGTCGAAGAAAGGAGAATTCTTTTTTCTGAAAGCCTCGGGGTGTTGTGGGCAGCCACACTTCTCTGCACACTCGCCCGGGCGGCGCGCCTTCGGCAGCAACAAATCATACATGCACCTCATGCCGCTCGCGCCCGCGCTCACCCAGTCTACTCCTCAACGCACAGCCGTCATCGGCGGCGGCATTGCCGGCCTGGCGTGCGCCCGCCGGCTGCAGCAGCTCGGCCACGAGGCCGTTTGCTTCGACACGGGGAAGCACGCTCCTGGCGGGCGCTGCTCCTCACGCACCTGGCCTGGCGGAGCGACGGTGGATCATGCCGCTCAGTACGCGACCGCCCGCTCGGCCAGCTTCAGCGCTCTGATGAAGGAGCTGGAGACCGAGGGGCTGGTCAAGCAGTGGCCGGCACGAGTTGTTGCCCTGGAAGGAGGCGCTGCTGCTGTGCCAGTCGAGGGCGACGCCGTGCGCTACGTGGGCGCGGACGGCATGGGCGGCATCGCGGCGGCGCTGGCGCGCGGCCTCGACGTGCGTCAGGACGTGTGGGTGCCGCCCAACGGAGGCATCACGTACGAGAGCGACGGGATGTGGCGTCTGCGGCTGCCCAGTGGCGCGGGCGACGACTGTCGCTTCGACGCGGTCGTGATTGCGCACAATGGAAAATGCGCGGAGCGGCTGACCTCGAGCGTGCCGGCGCGCGACGTGCACTCGCTCCTCCGCACTCGCTTTGCCGCTTCGCTGCCCGGCGGAGGGCGCGAGGGCGGCGGCGTCTTCACGCTGAACTCTGTCTACTCGCTGGCGTTCGAGGCGCCGGCCGGGGTGATGCCCTCCGACTTCGACGCGGCGGAGGTGCGCGGCGGCCCGCTGCGCTGGCTGGCAAACAATGCCGCAAAGTACGCTCCGGCCGACGGGGGCGGCGAGGTTTGGACCGCCCTGAGCACCGGCGCGTTCGGCAAGGCGCACAAGGTGCCGCAGGAGCAGCTGGCCGGGACTGAGGCGGAGGCGGAGGTGACGGCGAAGCTCCTCCGCGCGGTCGAGGCCGCCGTCGGGCTCGAGCCAGAGGCGCTCAAGCCCCTCCGCACCAGGCTGCAGCTGTGGGGTGCCGCGCTGCCTCTCTGCAGGTGGGACGACCCTTACGTCTGGGGTGCGCCTCCACCGCCGCCACCGCCGCCGCGCCGCCGCCGCCGCCACTGCCGCCGCCACTGCCGCCGCCGCTGACGACCCCTTTTCGTCGCCCCGCGGGCTCACGTCCCCACCCCGCCCCTGCTGGTGGCAGACGCGGAGCACCGCATCGGCATCGCAGGCGACTGGTGCGCCGCCTCCGCCGAGCACGCGGCCACTGTCGAGGGCGCCTTCTCTCGAGGCGCTGCCCCCGTCCCCCGAGCCTTCTCCCGGAGCCTTCTCGGAGCTCTCCTAGGCGCCTTCCTCTCGGGCGAGGCGCTGGCCAACCACCTCGCCGCCACGCCAGCACAGCCCGCCGGCCTCAGCCTCGGCGCAGACGGCAGCAGGTTCGTGCCCATCGAAGGGGCATTCGGCGGCGCCCCTGGCCAGTCGTCGTGGGTGCAGCCGGCAGAGGCCGGCGGCGGGCGCGGCGGAGGGTGTGGCGGCGGCGGGCGCGGTGGCGGCGGAGGGGGAGGCAAGCGGTACTTTGCGCAGCGGCTGTTTGTGCACAATTTGCCTTATGAGTGGGGCGAGGCGAGGCTGGTGGACGAGATCGAGGCTTGCGCCGGGCGGCGCTCCGTCTCGGCGGCGCAGGTCCTCACCTCGGCGGACGGCCTCTCGCGCGGCATGGCGAAGGTGCGGATGGAGACGGCGGAGGCGGCCTCGGAGGCGGTGCGCTCCCTCGACGGCAAGACGTTGGGCGGGCGGGCTCTGCGGGTCAGCCTGGAGGAGCGGAGGGACGGCGGCGGCGGCGGCGTTGGGCGCGGCGGCGGGCGCGGGCGCGGGAACGGCGGCGGCCGCGCTGGCCGCCGCGGCGGACGCGCGTGAGTTGAGTGGGCGGGAGTCAGAGCCCCACGCACCCGACGCGCGATCCTTTTCTCTTTTTTACTCGCAAAACCACACGCCGCCGGTTCTGGCTGCGGGCTACCACGAGAGTGCAGAGTAGAGAGGGCGCTCCTTTTCGTTTTCGCGTTCTTTTTTCTGCGTGGGGGGCCGACAGATTCCGCCCAGCCCACAGCTCCCCAGCCGCGCGCCGCCCCCGCGCGGGCGCGCGCGGTCTCCTTACTCAGTAAGTGGCTCTTACGAACATACACGAAGGGGGACTGCTAACTAACAGTTTTTATTGTTTCTTTAATTCCTTGGAGTGGTGTACCTGTGCACGGGCGGGGACCTGTTCCTTTTTACCCATCTCCTAGTAGAGGTGTCCGTTTTCTTAGTTTAATATTATTTATTACCTGTGTTAGTGCCAGTGTTAAGTTGCTTGGTGGTGTTCAATGGCCGGATCCAACGAGAAGTGGTACGCTTCGAAGTCGCTTTGGTACCAAGATTGCACCTTCTTCAGCGAGGCGTGGTCGTACCAGTCTGCGAGCGATGGCGCATCCGTTTTGTTGGAGGAGCAGCTCGTGATGCAGTGCCGCTGGTCTTTTCCGGTTCCGAACTCGATCTCCTGCGGCACTCGTCCGCCTCCGACACCGGCAGGGTAGCCGACACCGAGCAGTGCTGTCCGAAGGTCCGCCGCGAGTGAACTTGTGTGGCCGATAAACTTCACCGGGTGGCACGCCAAGAGGGCAGTTTGTGGCAGAACGGGCGGGCAGTCCTGCGCGTGCAGCCAAGCTCTGAAGCGGCAGATTGGGTCCTTGTCGGGGAATGCCTCGGTGGGCGCCTGGAGGATTTTCCAGAATCCCGCATTCGACACGACCCTCTTGTACGGGTTGGTCACAAAGGCAAACGCATGCGTTACTCCCGGCGAAGGCAGTGCCGTGTGGTGATGCTGGCAGGTGGCGTTGGTCACAATGCCTTTGGTGTAGAGGTATCGGAGGACGGTGCCTGTGCCAGTATGCTGCGGCTGCACGTATGTCCAGTGGATGCCCGTCGGCGACGTCCCTTGGCAGCCGGGCAAGTAGGAGTACACGCCGAGAGCCTCGCCCACATAGCCGCCAGATCTGCAGTGGCCGCGACGCGCGACGAGCCTGCGTGCAAGCCTGCGTGCATCCCCGCTGCAAGGTGCAGCGACCCTGGCCTCGGCTGCACGCCGGGGGAGTATGCAGCGTCTACCCCCCCCACGTTTCGAGCCCGCCGTGAGCCGAGTCTCGGGCGCTGTCTTGGGCGTGGGCGCGCCCTCACCCGCGCCGGGAGCAACCAGACCTGCCTGCTGCTCAAAGAGACGCGCCGCGTGCTTGTAGACAGCCACGTCGCTTTGCAGCTTCCCTTCAACCTGCATGCAGACACACTCGTTAGAAGGCGCGCCTCAGCGGGTGCACTGAGTTGCAGCGCGCTCGCCTTGGTCCACAGGGGGGTGCCCTCGACGAGTCTGGTGCGGTTGTCGGCAGCCTTCGCTGCCTGGTTCCAAGCACCGTCACCAGTCGTGAACCTGGCTCGCAGACCCGGGCTCCCCGTGTGCGGCAGGTTGAAGTAAGTCTCAAAGCGCGTCAACGACTCGGGCAAGCGGTCGAAGAGCCCAACCAGGCAAAAGCGGCTGAGCGTGCGCTTGGCTTCCGCGAGCAGGCGTTTGGAGCCGAGCGCGTCTGCCATCGCCCACTTCTCGGGCGGGAGTGCAAGCGCAGTGGTAAGCCACCGCGATTCAAATGTGCTAGATTCGATGTAGGCTTCGAACTTCGAAGGTATCTTGCCGTAGGTTGGCTCCCAGGTGGCGGTCTGGAGGTAGTTGAAGAGCGACACCACCCGCGTCACGGGTTGTCGAAATACGGCGAACAAGCGGCAGCGCACCGTCTTGAGGAGCGGCAGGTTAATGAAGGGGAGGTCGGTCATGATGGCCAGCTTCGCGCCGCCGGACTGCTCAGCGGCTGCCGCCACCTCTGCAGCGGTGATCTCAGTTGGCTCATGCACGACCCATGGCGAGTCCTCACCGGCCACCTTGCCGCCAGCCTTGACACGCTTCCAGGTGGCCTCGGTCGGACTGGCCTGCTCGTGGATCAAGATGGTTTTGTTATACAGGAAAACGAGCAATGCCTCCATCGCTGTCCCAGCCGCCTTCGGGATGTGCCAAAACATGGGCAGACTGGGGAGGCTGGTCGGCTCTCGCAACATGAGCAGATTGTCGAGCGTTGCTGCCGAGGGCGGGCTGGCGCTACACGTGCCGGACGGAGCGCACCACGGCTCGCCAGCGAGCTGCTTCCAGCAGTCAGCGCAAGTCCATTCCATCGACTCGCGGTCCTTCTTGCGGCACAGCTGGCCTCCGTTGGGTCCGACCTCGCGTGGCCAACCCTCAGGGCATCCACGCATAGTCTCAAAGCTCGCGCTGCTTGCGACGCATTGGGCGGCGACTACGATGAGCAAGCGCGATGGCCGTACCTGCACACGGTTCGCGGACGGCAAGGCTGCATTGGTGCGGTGCTGCATATGGGCATCCCCCCTCCCACCCCGGCCCACTTGTGGTGGGACGGCCGCGAGGTGGCATGAAGGTTGCAGCGAGAAGCGGCGAGAGACTGCGAAAAGAGATACGAAGAGGCAGACTCCCCAGGGTGGGCGACGGCTAGCGCATCACACTCTCCTCTCCTTAAAATCCCTGTGTGGTGGCGGCGTGCCGTTCTCCCATCCCTCCCTTGGGTTGTGTGTTTTCTTTCTTTCTTTCACTGCACGTTTCGAGCCCGCCGTGAGCCGAGTCTCGGGCGCTGTCTTGGGCGTGGGCGCGCCCTCACCCGCGCCGGGAGCAACCAGACCTGCCTGCTGCTCAAAGAGACGCGCCGCGTGCTTGTAGACAGCCACGTCGCTTTGCAGCTTCCCTTCAACCTGCATGCAGACACACTCGTTAGAAGGCGCGCCTCAGCGGGTGCACTGAGTTGCAGCGCGCTCGCCTTGGTCCACAGGGGGGTGCCCTCGACGAGTCTGGTGCGGTTGTCGGCAGCCTTCGCTGCCTGGTTCCAAGCACCGTCACCAGTCGTGAACCTGGCTCGCAGACCCGGGCTCCCCGTGTGCGGCAGGTTGAAGTAAGTCTCAAAGCGCGTCAACGACTCGGGCAAGCGGTCGAAGAGCCCAACCAGGCAAAAGCGGCTGAGCGTGCGCTTGGCTTCCGCGAGCAGGCGTTTGGAGCCGAGCGCGTCTGCCATCGCCCACTTCTCGGGCGGGAGTGCAAGCGCAGTGGTAAGCCACCGCGATTCAAATGTGCTAGATTCGATGTAGGCTTCGAACTTCGAAGGTATCTTGCCGTAGGTTGGCTCCCAGGTGGCGGTCTGGAGGTAGTTGAAGAGCGACACCACCCGCGTCACGGGTTGTCGAAATACGGCGAACAAGCGGCAGCGCACCGTCTTGAGGAGCGGCAGGTTAATGAAGGGGAGGTCGGTCATGATGGCCAGCTTCGCGCCGCCGGACTGCTCAGCGGCTGCCGCCACCTCTGCAGCGGTGATCTCAGTTGGCTCATGCACGACCCATGGCGAGTCCTCACCGGCCACCTTGCCGCCAGCCTTGACACGCTTCCAGGTGGCCTCGGTCGGACTGGCCTGCTCGTGGATCAAGATGGTTTTGTTATACAGGAAAACGAGCAATGCCTCCATCGCTGTCCCAGCCGCCTTCGGGATGTGCCAAAACATGGGCAGACTGGGGAGGCTGGTCGGCTCTCGCAACATGAGCAGATTGTCGAGCGTTGCTGCCGAGGGCGGGCTGGCGCTACACGTGCCGGACGGAGCGCACCACGGCTCGCCAGCGAGCTGCTTCCAGCAGTCAGCGCAAGTCCATTCCATCGACTCGCGGTCCTTCTTGCGGCACAGCTGGCCTCCGTTGGGTCCGACCTCGCGTGGCCAACCCTCAGGGCATCCACGCATAGTCTCAGGCGTAAGCTCCCAGGCCGGCGCCAAAAGACGACGCCTGATCAAGGTACAATGTGAGGCGCAACGCGGTCCGCCTCTCGCCAGGCCTCGCGCGGGCGGAGAAACAACACCGAGCGTGTAGTTCCCAGCGTCGCCATCAAACCTCACGCGGAACAACCCAACCCGACCCAACCCAACCCAACCCAACAACCCACCCAACCCAAAAAGCAGGATTCTGAAGTTGGGCCCTCGCGCTCCGGGTTTCCCCTAGACGAGCGCCGGACGATAGTACCGCCTCTGTTCGCCCTGTGCATGTCAGGCCAGGCTGCAGCAGGGCACTACCAACGTGCTGCCCTGTTGCAGCCTGACTTTGCCCACTGTGCACAGTCGCCAGAGCACCACCACCGCCCGGCATCGTGTCACGGCGAGCTCCTTCTGCGCCCGCTCGCGAGGCTCTCGCGCTGGCACACTTTGGCCATCTGCTGCTCGCGTTCGGCGAGCTCTTCTCCGCACTCCTGCCACGGTGCCGTCACCACACACCTTCTGGCTGGCCTGAGCCGCGCGGGGTCGCCGGCGGGGGCAACATATCGACCTCTCTCTCTGGTGCACCACGGGCCGCAACGGCCTGCGAGCAGCGTGCGCGAGGAGGCAGTGTGCCGGCACAGTCGAGCCGGAGCATCGGGTTCTTGATGCTTCTGGGGTCAAGTTTGACCTTATGCGGCCTAATCTGCAACAATAATGCTATGCTCTCACCCAGCCTTTTGAGATATGATCCCTCAAAGTCGAATTTTCGTTTACTGGTGACCATAGTACCGTTTGTCTTGTTTGCGTTTCTTCAAACGAATCCTTTAAAGTCTCGACAATCACTCAGCTGCTTATGTGGCACCGCAGAGGCTCCCTTGGGGATGCCTGAGGCCACCCCAACCACACACTAAGCCGTACGTAGACGAATTTATCGCTACTTTTTTCGTTTACCCACATTATGCGAGTATCTGCCCCTTCTCCTGGCACCGCCCACGGCGCCTCTCTCGCAAAGCCCAGCGGGGCGGCGCGGCTGCAGCGGCAAACCGGCGCCTGTATGGACACTTGCGGCGGGCGCGGGCAATGTCGGGGCGCTGCAGCATCACTTTAGCTGAGCAGTCAAGCTACGCGCCGTGCATCCTCGGGCGGAGCTTCGGCTGCACAAATGCCGCCGAGCGCTCGCCGTCCGTGTGGGTTCGCGGATGCCGAGGCCGGTTCCTGCTGCGCGGCTGCAGTGGCAAGGACGAGACCAGCGGCAAGGATGAGACCAGCATGATCTGGTGCGGCTATCCTCCAGGTGCATCGAGCTACAACTGTAGCTGCGACGGCCGCTCCACGGCCAGCTGGCCACGTGCGCCGCACCTGCGCAGCCGAGCCGATGCGCGAGCTGCAGCGCGGCACGCGATCAACCAGGCCCCGTCGCCGAAGGCGCTCCTATTCGTGCACTTTGCCAAGTGTGGCGGCACGGCCGTCCGAGACTACCTGCTGGGGCACAGCAAGCGGGCCGGTTTCACCTTCCTGGACTACGCGCACGCCGCGGAGTTTCTGAGCCTGCACCGCGACGCGCTCGCATGGGGCGGGTCCAACAACAAGAAGGGCGACAGGGTGCTGCCCCGCGCGACGCAGTGGAACTTGTCGTCCTTCGCGGTGGAGTTCCATCACTACGCCGAGAACCATTACTGGCTCGGCGTCCTGCCGCGCCTGGGCGCGCTGCGCCGTCGGTATGCCGCCGCGGGGGGCGCACTGGTCACCTTTGCGCTCATTCGCGACCCGGCTGCGCACATGCTGTCGTGGTATCGAATGTGGCCGCCTCGGCGCAACCATCGCACGGCGCTCGTGCCGTTGAGCGAGTGGCTTCCGCTTGCTGCCGGCCTCACGACGCGCATGGCGGCGACGGGCGCGTACATCACAAAGAACCACAACAAGTTCACCAACAGCAGCTACAACCTGCCTGCCACGAGCGTGGCGGCTGGCTGGCGATCGACGCACGCCTCGAGCGTCCCATTCCAGTGTCCGCACCAGATGACCCGGCTGGCCGCCTCGCGTCTGGCGTCGATTGATATTCTCGGCGACGTGGCGAACTTGACGGCAAACATGCGCCGCGCCATGGCGTGCATGGGCTGGCCCACCCCCCGGCATGTGCCGCACGTCAGCCTGAGCAACCACCCCAGGCACGTCATGTTCGAGCAGACCAAGAGGGCAACGGTGGCTGCGCTGCACGACACCGCGTCCAGGCTGCTGCTCGCTGACGCTGCACGTTGCGACCTCCGCACGTACGCGACGCTGTGGCGCATGAAAAGGATTGCGGCCACCGGGCCGTTTGGATTCCGCGAGCGCTGCCCAAGGCGAGCAGCGCGCCACGCCGCGCCGGCCGCGAACGATATCGACCCCGGCTCCGCCCCCAGCACTCTTCCCGCACTTCTCTCCCAGGAGCGGCCTGCCGAGGAGCTCACCGCCGCCGTTACAACTGCGGCCGCGGCCGCTGCCGATGCACAGCAAATCTACTAGTCATAGCTACTGGTAGCTAGGTTATCTGTCGGTAGTATCTCTGTCTCAGCTTTTAAGAACCCCAGGCTAAACTGCCACCAGCCGCTTGGAAACCTTAAGGGGCAAAGTCGGCTTTCCCACAAAAAGGCCCTCGTGTTTTCTCGTGTTTCATGCACACTCGGACACAGCCGAGCCTCAGGCGTCCAAGTCGGGGGCGGTGGGGTAGACACGGCGCCGGAGGCTTGGCCCGGGGGCGAAGTGAGGGGCGGCGAGGGCTATCGCGAGCACCAAGGCGACTTGCGGGAATCACTGCTGCACACCAGTGGCGCCCAGTCCGACGGCCTGACGGCGACTCATGGACTTTTCACGGGGGGGGAGGCTGCCCACGTGTTGCGTGTGACCTATGCGCGTGTAGCGGTTGCCGCATCGCCAGTGTTGAAGTGAATGTTGAAGTTATCTTTCGCTGGGGGCAGCCCGGCAAGGCTACTGCGAGGCCGCAGCAGCAACACACAAATACGCCCGCCGGGGACCGATCGGCCTAGACGGCTAGCGCATGACCAGGGGAGCTGGCAGACGGTCCTCACGGACCAAGACACATAGCTGAGAGGGCACCTCCGACGCTCAGCCACCAGTAGCAGTATATCTCTCAGCTGAGCCTGGAGTTGAGGCTCGGGCCGTCACGGGAGGGGAGCACGGTTTCATCGGAACTGTCGCGCAGACACGAGCGGCAGCACGCGCCAGCGCGGTGGCAGGGGTCGAGTTGCGATCGCCTATGCGTTGAACAGAGGAGTACTGGCTCCTCTCTGCCTAGAGACTGCAGTGGCAGTGTGGAGCCGCAGCATGCCGCCCGCTCAGACCAGCCGCAGTGACTGCGCCGCGAGCGCCGTGAGCGTGTCCAGGCTGACAGACAGGCGCAGGCAGCGAGGGCCGAGCGCAGGCGCAGCGGCGCACGCAGCGAGGCACCTGTCAAGCAAGATCCGCACGCCGGGAGCGTCGCTCGGCGTGGGTTCGTTCAATTGAGGCGCGCCAGGGGAAGATTCCTGATTCTTTTTTATTCTTTTGTTTAAACTCTTTTATCGATTGACTAGGACAATGTCTTTTTCTTGTAGTTTGGTTTGTAGTTTGGCGCCGCGCCTTTAGAATACATAGAGAAACCAAACTACCAACCAAACTACAGAAAAAGGATATAGGGGCTATGAGACATGTAATAAAGAAAAAAGATCGGCTTTTCCTTCCCCTCTTCACGCCTCCACAGGCCAAAGTTGGACCCGCGCGAGATCGCCCCCTCGCGCCGTCCGTCGGGCCCGAGCTGTATGTCCGTGCCAGAGGCCTCTCCCGCCCATCGATCGCCTCTGGGCTGACTCGTGCGAGGCTGCGAGCGGTTCTCCGTGTATCGATGGTGGCCAGTTGCCGGCACTGGTTTGCCGGAGGCTGCAGCACACGATGGCTGCGACGCGACAGATACCCCTCGGTGCTGCTGAGCGGGTGCCCGACGCGTGCGCGTGGACGGAATCCGACCCGCGAGGAACCATTCGAGCCGTTGGTAGCGCTCCACCTCCGACCGGACACGTCATCTCTGGCCCTGCGTTGAGGCTGCTGCGCACGCATACCGCCAGGGTGCTCACCACGCAGATGCCAGAGACGCGCCGATCGCGGCTGCCTCGACTGCACACGTGTCCACAGACCTCTCCGGTTGACCACTCGGAGATCGGCAGGGCGCGAATTCGCATTTCGGTTCTTCCTCAGAGACAGAAGGCCCACTCGGCATGCTGCGAGACAACGCGAACATGTACATGTGGCATAAAAGTGCACTTCCTGCCACAGAGAGTCACTCGGTGCAGCCGCGCAGCGGGCTCGTGGCATCGCCCGGTCCGTGTGGAGTGCACGAGGTGCTCGGCGACGGGTGCAGCCCTGATGCGAGCCGTGCTGGCATGCTCACGCTGTGCGCCAAAGGCTCGCCACCGCCACTGATCCGCAACGCGATTGTGGCCCTGGTAGGGTGGCTTCCTCGATGGCTTGTGACCACGGCGAGCGAACATGTAGCCAGCCCGACGCTGACTTGGCTCACGGGACCGACAAAGCAGCTATCGCGCAGCCGCCCGTCGCTACACGTAGACAGTGAACACTGGATACGTCCAACGGCGTCCAACTTGGTAAAATTCGGTCCAGCTGATTAACCCTGGTAGGTGGACAAAAATGTGCGTTTTTTGGCCTCCCCTTCCTAACATTAGCCGGCCAAAATGTACTCTGACCGGTTAATATTAGGGAGGGGGGGGCGGTCGGGTGTCAGACCTAGCGCAGGCGTGCGAGACTGACGTATTTTGGACAATCCACCTACCAGGGTTAAGAAACCCAGGCTGTGGCTGGGCCGAGCGATGTTGATTGATCTCTCGGTGAGCGGGGTGCCGAGCCGGGCCTCGGGGTGGCGGGCGTGCGGGCGGCACCCCGAAAGCAGAAAACAGAAAACAAAGGCCGGAGATTTTGGGAGTAGAAACGATACGCCTGAGGAGGCCCAGAGGGGGCCAGGGGGCCAAGGAGGCGGCGCGGGGAAGCATAGAGGTGCGAGAGCGGGAAGGATGGCGCTTACAGCTTTAGGATCGGCTTCGTGAACCGCAAGCAAGGGTTTCCAGGAAGGTTTTAGATCGAGTGGTGCGGGCCGCGGGGCCCGTGTGTGCCGGTCCGGCTGGACCGAGAGGTGGGTAGCAGGAGTTAGGTACATTACAACAGGAGTTCGGTAAGAGGAAAAGGGCTCCCTAACTCAAGCTACCTTACCTTAAGTTCGGTACCAGACGGTACGGTGCGGTCCCGGTATGGAGCGTTAAGGCTCGGATGGTACGGTACGGTACGCGGTGCGCTCGGCGCGATGCGGGACTAAGTTAGGCGCGGAGGGATAGGAGTCCGGCCAACGATGTGAGTGTGTCCTAACTCTGTCCAGCTGGACTAAGTTCGGCGGGAGACGGTATCCGCGGACGGCAGCGTCTGGAGCTGGGGCTGCGACGGGCAGGGCAAGCTGGGACACGGCGACGATGACGACCGGCGTTCAGCTCACTTGCCCACCCCCGCGATCTCGCCGACGATCTGGTTGGGCAGCCGCGTGGTCCACACGTCGCTCACGCCGCCGCGCTCGACCATCTGCTGGCGCAGTAGCCGGTAGCGCAGCTCGGTGATGTGCTTCTGCGCGTAGGCCCACACCATGATGCGCTCGCGCCCGTCGGCGGGCGGCGAGGCGCGCGTGTGCATCACGCGGTGGTTGTTGAGCACGATGCACGTGTGCTCGGGCCACTCGACGGGCACGACGAAGCGCGGGTCCTCGAGCATGCCCAGCCACGTGGTGTAGGCGCCCATGATGTCGTGGTACACGTCGTAGGGGATGGCGCACACGCCGCGCTTGATCTCCGAGTGCGCGACGCGGCGCACGACCCCGCCGTCGTCGAGCTCGAGGATGGGGTGCGTGTGGCAGTCCTCGAAGACGCCGTCGTGCAGCGAGCCGAGGTGGCAGTAGTCGCCGTTGGCGTCGTAGTGCACGGTGCGCAGCGAGTGCGTCAGCGGCACGCTCGAGAGCAGCTGGAAGGCCGCGGGGTCGCTCGTCCGCAGTTCCTCCGCGACGGCCACGCCGTCGACGACCGAGGTGCGCACGCTCGCCTGCGCCTGGTACATGAACTGCAGGTAGCCGGGCACGTCGTCGATGAAGGCGTGGTCTGTGTGCATAGAGAGCGGGTGGGCGAAGTTGTAGTCGGCCAGGTGGTCCTTGGCGCGGCTCGTCGCCATCTGCTCGCGCATCACGCCCCACGCCGTGCGCCGGCGCGGGTGCGAGTAGAGCTTGCCGACGAGCCGCTGGGCGAGCGCCCTCACCGGCTCGCCAACCGCGTCGAGGTCGAAGGCGCTCGGCGCGTCGCAGCCGTGCACCACCGCCACGCCGTCGACGGCCATCGTCTCGAGCAGCCGCGCGGCGCACGCGTCGCTGCGCGTGATCTCGGACGCGTCGAACTGCGCGACCTCGTGGCCGGCCCGCCACAGCCGGCGCTCGAGGCCCTCGAGCAGGTAGCCCGCGCCGTCGACGGTGCGCCGCGGCGAGGCCTGGTCGAGCGCCTCGCCCACGTACGGCGCGCACGCGTGCAGCCAGCCCGCGTCGAAGCGCTCCAGCTCCATTGCCTCCTCCCCCGCCGCCGCCGTGCCCGCCGCGCCCGTCGTACCCATCCCTCCGTTGCTAGTCCCTTCTCCAAAGTCGACCAGCACCGCCGAGCCGTCGGCCGCCGGCCGCGCCGCCGCGACGGTCGCGCGCGCGGCGCCGCGCACGTGCCGCGCCGAGCGGCGCACGTAGCTCGCGTTGAAGGCGTTGGGGCTCGAGTCGCGCAGCCAGCCGGCGTGCAGCTTGTACTTGCGGCCGTCGCAGAAGGCCAGCTCGAGCTGCGCGCCGCCGTTGCTCACGCGCACCTCCCTGACGCGCGGGCTGCCCGCCGCTTCCGTGCCCGCCGCCGTCTCGGCGGAGCAGCAACCATCGTCCTCGCCGCCGCTCGTCGCGGTCGCCGCTGTGGTTGCCGTCGCCGGCGTCGTCGTCCCTGCGCTCTCCTTCGGCACGGCGGAGCCCGAGAGGCCGTACCCGTCGTAGCGCGGCGCCGCCTCCCGCGCCGCCTCCCACGCCTCCTCCCACGCGGCCACCACGGGCGGCGGCAGCGGCCCCGCCTGGCACGCCCGCAGGTTGGCCTCGAGCTGCGCGACGGAGGAGGCGCCGAGGATCACGCCGTCGCCACCCACGCCGCTGCCGATGCAACCATGGCGATGAGCCGTCCCGCGCAGCATTGAGTGGTGCGAGAGCCAGCGGATGGCCGCCTCCGCCATCGGCAGCGGCGCGCCCGAAGTGCCCGCCTCGTACTGCTCGCACGCGGATCGCACGGCGTCGAGGGCACTGAAGAGCTCGCGCTTCCAGTAGCGCTCCTGGTAGAAGGCGTTGTTGTCGAAGCGGCCGCCGCCGCCGCCGCCCGGCGACCCGCCGCCGCCGCCAGTCTCGCCGCCCAGGTCGTGCAGGCGGTGCTTGCCGGTGAGCAGCCCGCCCGCGAGCGGGTTGAAGGCGTAAAAGTCCATGCCCAGCTCGCGCAGCAGCGGCATCAGCTCGGCCTCGGCGCCGCGCGCCAGCGCGTTGTACATGCCCTGGTACACCGACGGCGTCACCCAGCCGCGCCGAGCCATCGTCTCATGGATGAGCTGCACCTCGCCCGCCGAATAGTTGGAGAGGCCGAGCCGCGCGAAGCGGCCGCGCTCGTACTGCCGCTGCACCGCCGCGAGCGTCTCGTCGAGGGGCGTCGCGTTGTCGGGCCAGTGCAGATAGAAGGTGTCGACGTGGCCGCCACCGCCCTTGCTGCCGCCGTTGCCGCCGTCGCCGCCCGGCGTCGCCTCCGCCCCGCCCGTCAGACGCAGCGCGGCTAGCGAGGCGTCGAGCTGTTCCGTCAGACGATGCGCGCTCAGCCCGCCCGTGCCGTCGTCGCCCGCGTCGCCCGCCGGGTTGGCCTTCGTCGCGAGGCGGAGCGGCGCGCGCTGCTCCGGCGGCAGCATGTCGATCGCGTCGGCGAGGATCACTTCGGTCTGGCCGCCCGCGTACATGCGCGCCGTGTCGACCTCGACCCCGCCCGTCGCGGCGAAGCTCTTCAGCATGCCCGCCGCCACGGGCGCGTCGACCACCCGCGAGGCCTGATCCCAGCCAAAGGTCATTGTGCCCAGCACCGGCTGCGGAGGGAGCGGCGTGCTTGCGTCGTCTTCCGCCGCCAATGTCGTCTCTTGCAGCTCCTCTGCCGCCGCCATCGTCGGAGCCGTCGCGGACGCCTCGGCGTCCCACGCGCGATTCACCTCGAGCAAGATCGGCCCTCCACCACCGCCACCGCCGCCCACCGCCTCGCCGCCGCCGCCCTCCCCGAGCAGCGCGCGCACGCGCGGCGACGCGAGCGCCGCCTCGACCGACGCGCCGTCCTCCGCGCGCACGTGCTCGATGCCGTAGGCCTCGCACAGCCTCGCGAGGTCGGGCCGCGGCACCGTCGTCGCGAAGTCGGGCAGCGACCGGCGGATCTCGCCGTACGAGCCGTCGTTCCAGCAGACGAGCAGCAGCGGCAGCCTCTCCTCGGCGGCGACCGCCAGATCCTGCACGCTCATCTGCAGCCCGCCATCGCCGACGAGCAGCGCGACCGGCCCGCCGCCGCCGTGGAGCCGCCGGCCGAGGCATGCGCCAACGGCGGCGGGCAGGCCGTAGCCGAGCGCCGTCGTGCCCACCGGGTAGAGGAAGGAGGAGGGCCGGTGCGCGGGGTACATCGACAGCGCCGTGTAGCCGAGGCGGCAGACGTCGCTCACGAGCGGCGTGTCGTCGGGCAGCGCCGCGCGCAGGCCAGCGAGCGTCTGTAGCATGGCCTGGCCGCCGCCGGCCGCGTCCTCAAAGTCCCACATCAGCGTCTGCGAGAGCGCGGACGGCGCGTCGGATGCGGCCTTGGCCGCGGCGACGGCGCGTGCGGCGTGGGTGGTGGCGGTGGTGGCGGCGGTGGTGGTGGTGCCGCGCCGCTACTACTGCTGCTGTCGGAGCCGATGGCGTCGAGCAGGGCGTGGCACGCGTCGCTGGCGTCGGCGAGGACGGCGCGGCCGCCGTGGGCCTCCACGCCGCCCTGCGCGAGCGCGCGCGCGTCGATGTCGACGTGCGTCGCGCGCCCCTCCGCCAGCGCGGGCAGCGGCACCTCCTCCGCGTGCTGGAATTGCCAGTAGTCGGTCGGCGAGAGCTGCGTGCCGAGGAGCAGCACGTGGTCGGCGCCGGCGAGGAGCGCGTCGCGCGTCGGCGGGTGGTGCAGCCGCGCGCCCGCCGCGAGCGGGTGGCGCTCGTCGAGCGCGCCTTTGCCCGCGACCGTCGAGAGCACCGGCGCGTCGAGCGCCTCGGCGAGCTTCGTCAGCGACGACGACGCGCCGCGCGCGCCGCCGCCCACGACGATGACGGGCCGCTCGGCGCGGCGGAGCGCGGCGGCCGCGTCCTGGAGCGACGCGAGGCTCTCGGCGGAGAGCGGGCCGACGCGCTGGCCGCTTTCTGCGAGGTCGACGGCGGCAGCGGCCGCGTTGATGGCGTCGGTGGTGGCGATGCCGCCGTTGTCCGCGGCGAGCACGTCGATGGGGATCGAGAGGTGTACAGGGCCCGGGCGGCCGCCGCGCGCGAGCGCGCAGGCCTCGGTGAGCGCCGCCTCGATGTCCGTCACGCTCGTGATGAGCAGCGAGCGCTTGCTCACCGCGGCCGCGACGTCGTCGCAGCGCGGCACGAAGTGAGAGTACTGGCGCTGCGGCTTGGAGGCCCAGAAGGACGGCACCTCGGAGGAAATGACGAGCATGGGCACCGAGTCGGCGAGCGCCGCGGCCATCGGCGTCAGCGTGTTGGTCAGGCCGATGCCCGTCACGACGCACACGGCCGCGAGCTCTCCGGTGGCACGTGCGTAGCCATCAGCAGCATAGCCGGCACCCGCCTCGTGCCGCGTGGTGACGGTGGAGATGCGCCCGTCGAGCGCCTGCAGTCCGCGGTAGATGGGCACCGTGTGCGTGCCGGGGATGCCGAAGACGGCACGCACGTTGTTGCGCAGGAGTGCGCGCGCCACAGACGACATGATTCGTCGTCAGCGCGAGAGCTTTGGCACGGCGTCTCGCCACCCCCAAAGCGAGTATGACTGAGCGTGATTTCAGCATGGGCCTCGCGGGGCCGCGTCCCAGGACGCCTACCGCGTCCTTTCGAAATCCTGACACGCCCGTGTGTTTCTTTTTGCTTGAGCGGCAAGAAGAAATTCTGCAAAAACCCGGCCGGCCCCTGCCCCTACCTACCTGCCTACCTACCTACCTACCCTACTTATGGGAAACTAAAAAAGAAATCAAAGGTGGGTGAAGGGGGAGAATTATACCAACTAAAATGATGGTTGGTGGTACTCTCCTGCAACCACAGTCCTTCCTGTGACATGGCAGGCCACTCTCAAGCCCTACAAGCACCACCACCAGATCTAGAATCTGAGAGAAGAGATCTCTCTCTCTCTCTCCAGATCTCCCATTGGGGAGGGTTGACATCGTGATTTCCGCGGAAAAATTCTTTTTCTGCTGTGAAAATTCCAGCGTGAAGAGAGGGGAAAACCCGACGGGAGGGCCCAGACCTACCCTACCTACCCCGGCATGAGTTCCGCCCAAGCAAAAAGAATACACACCCGACACGCGCGTCATTTTGTACCTTCCCCCCCTGTCTACCGCCTAGTTCGTGGGGACCCCCCGCCGGTCGGTGGTCTGCCCCCGAGGTGGACCGGACCCCCCCTCCGGTCGGTCGCTCTTTCGGCGGCGGGAGGTGTGACGACCGACCCCCCCTCGGTCGGTGTCCTTGCCGTGAGCCCCCTCAAACGCTCTCTCTCCCTCCTTCTCGCGAACCGCCACGGGCGCTTCGAAATCGCCGGTTTTCACTATGAAAACTAGTTACGCAGCCAAGCGCCAAGGAGACTTCTTCGCCGAGGCCCGATCAAGCCCGACCCCACAGCCACACATGTGCATGTGCATGCACATGTGCATGCACATCTCTCTCTCTGCACAATGCACATGTACATGTGCATGCATGTGACACAAAACAAAAATCTCTCTCTCTGTATGTGGGGGGGAGCATCTTACTACGCAGTCGCAGGCCTGGTCCTGCTTGCGCCGTCGCTTTGTACGAGCTCTGGCCGCGCTCAAGCGGCTCGTCAACGAATACACAAACAGTGTGTCGAAGCGAATCGTACATGTGTGCATGTGCATGTATGGACGACGACGACCAGAGTGTGGACATGGACAAGCTCGAACAAGCTCGTGTACGTGTTCCACCCAATTCTGAGCGTCTCGGTCTCGAGCTCAGCCACTCGGACGACGAGGAGTGATTAGACGGGGAGAGGGCGCTTGGTCTCTAGTATTTCGAGATACTAATTTATTCACAGCGCTGCGGCGAGCGTGTGCGGTGTGTGTGACCCTCGAGCCAACCCGACCGACCCCCCCCTCGGTCTGCGCTCCGACCGACCGGACCCCCCCTCCGGTCTGCGGAGTGCGGTCTTCCGCGGCCGTCGACCGGACGCCCCCCTGCGGTCGGTCGGTCTGCGCTTGGCGCTCAAACCGCAAACTCGGCCTGTTCACTACAAAATGACGCTCGTATGAAGAACGACCGAAATCGAATCGAGGAAAGGGGGTTTCTCCTCTATCCCTATGTTTTCTTCCTTTTCTTCTTCCTTTTTTCCACCATTCTCATCATTGAGAAAAATATGCAGAGTTTTTTGTTTCTTTCTTCATGTCCGCGCCAGTCCGCGCCCTTGTCGTGCCAGGGTGCTGTGAGAGAGGCATGCACTTGGAGCACTTGGAGTGCAGTCGGCAACCTCACATCCAGACTGGGGGGGCATAGAATTCTTTCGGCGGGGAGGGCGGGGTGGGTCGGGACGGGGTGGGGCTTTGGGGAGGGGTCCGGGGTGGGGTGGGGTGGGGCGGGTGTCGGAGGAGGGGATTTCGGACGCCGGCTCTTGTGGCGAGGACGATGGCTTCTAAGGAGGCCGTCGTCTGCTCTGTCGTGTGAATCGTGCGTGTGCGAGAGCCTTTGCAAGGGAAAATTCTTTCTTGAAAGGACGCGGCCTCTACTGCCTGGCCTGCCAGGCCTGCCAGGCCTCTACTGCCTGGCCTACTGCCAGGTCCTACTGCCAGGCCCTACTGCCAGGCCCATGCTGAAATCACGCTCATCGTCATACGCACAACGGTCTGCACCACTCATCACCGCGACATGGCCATGCGTCGGAGCAGCATTTTCGTCGTCGCGGGCCTGACGGCATGCGGTTGGGCGGAGGCGCCAAAAGCGGCCGCCGACTGGCTCGCCATCGACTACCACAAGGCTCCCGGCCTCAAGCCCGTCGTCCATGAGGGCGCCGTCTACTCTTGCGTCCGGCTCATGCTCCGCCCGGAGGACGGCGGTGCGAGCAAGGGCACGTGGGAGGTCACGGCCCGCATTCAGCACCCGATGAAGCTGCCGTCGTCGTACCGTTCCGCCAAGCAGGCCGAGGCGGCCTGCGGGGCGGCGGGCGGCACCTTTGTGCGGCTCGACAAGCTGCAGAGCTTCATCAACGGGGCCGCGAGCGAGTCGCCCGCCAATGCATCGGCGTCGTGCACGGAGGCCGAGAAGGAGCCGGCGGCGGAGGCAAGGGAGGCGCCGAGCTCGAGCGAGCTCGCGCGCGCCGTCGCGCAGTGGAACGACCGCTTCTTCAACATGGACACGGCCGTGACGCGCCAGAACGCCGACCGCTTCCACGGGCGCGGCACCGAGCACAAGCACCTCGCGCAGGAGGTGACGCACCTCGTGATGCCGAAGGCGGTGCAGCAGCGCATCCTAGAGCGGCTGGCGACGCACCGCGAGGCGCTCTTCGGCGACGGCGGCGCCGGTCAGGGCGGCACCACCGGCGCCTACTTCCTGGCGGGCAACGTGGGCTTCGGCAACGCCAACCAGGGCGCCAACCTGATGGACCTCGTCTTCCCGCCCGACCCGAGCGCCAAGAAGGCGTCGTCGGGCGGCGCGCTGAACGGCGACGGCGACGCGTACGCCATCAAAAAGGGCGGCAAGCTCTTCGGCGAGATCGACGACGGGAGCGGCGCGCCCGCGGCGCGCCCGCCCGACCTGCTCGCCTATGAGGAGGAGGTGCGGCGGCTGCTGATGCAGAGATCAGACGTGGACTACCTCTTCGGCGACGAGGTCGAGATCGAGTGGCAGCACCGCCTGTGGCGCTACGGCCCCAACTTCGACCCGAAGGCCAAGGGCGGCATCTGGCACAAGGACACGTGCCCCTTCGGCATCAACGGCGCGCTGCCCGAGAACAGCGTCATGTTCACGATCGTCTACATCCTCTACACGGAGAACCTCGACGGGCCGACGGCGGGTACGCGCGTCAAGGACGACGACGGCACTTCCATCTCGCTGCCGTGCGTCGCTGGCGAGGGCAACGTCATCCGCTCCGGCGAGAGCGACAGCGACGCCTTCTTCCACTCCGGGCCGCTCAACATCCGCAAGCTCGACCAGTCGCGCCCGGCCTACCGCGTGATGCTGCAGTCAAAGGCGCTCGTGCGCCCCGCCGACGGGCGCAAGCGCGCCATCCCCTCCAAGGGCAACTGGCGCGGCCTCGGCATCGCGCCGCTCGTCTTCGCGGCCGACGCCAAGCCGGCGGAGCAGGTGAGCGCCCTGGGCAGCTGGCTGCAGGCGGCGTCGGCGCGGCTGACCAAGGGCGTGGGCGAGTCGAACGCGGTGGGCTTCGAGGCGTACCCCGTCAACGTGGGCCGCGCGTGGGCCGTGACGGCCGACCTGTGCGCCTTCCTCGGCGTGCAGACGCTCGGCCTGCTCCCCGAGCCCGACAGCCCCGCCACGCCCGTCGTCGTCTTCGGCTGGGACCAGCGCTACACCGAGGAGGTCGTCGACGCGCTCAAGGGTAGCTCCTTCCGCGTGCTCAACGTCGCCTCCGACAGCGACTTCGCCGCGCTGCGCGAGGCCAAGCAGGAGACGTACTCTAACCTGCAGACGGCCGACATCACCGCGACCGACAAGGTGAGCGCGATGCTGCAATCCTATCCCTACGACCTGCACGTGGTCCTCGACGTGCCGCCCGTCGGCGAGCGCTCCATCGGCGAGTCGGTGCTCCAGCGCTACGGCAGCGCGCTCGCGCTCATCGCCGCCAAGGGCCGCGGCGAGGGCCGCCTCTGCACGATCACGCTGCTCTCACAGCAGATGCCGACGTCCGGCCGCGACTCGGCCGGCAAGCCGCCGCCGAAGGGTCAGCCGCTCTCGAAGGTGCAGAAAGCCTTCCTCGCGCTCGAGAAGGAGCTCGTCGACTTTGGCGAGACGCACGGCGTGCGCGTCGTGATCATGCGCGTCGCCGACCGCGTCTACGCGCCGTCCGACTCGGCGCTGAGCCGCCGGGCCTCCGCGCCCGGCAAGCGGCCCAACCCGTGCCGCGTCGAGACGTGCGCCGAGGCCGAGCCGATCACGCGTGTACACTCGGAGGACCTGGGCCTCGTGCTCAAGCGCATGCTCTCCATGTTCGACATCGTCGAGACGCACGGCATGGACTCGTCGCTGCGCGGCACCGCGTCGATGGCGAGCTCGATCAGCCGCTTCCCTAGCGGCACGGTGCTGGAGGTCGTCGACGACGCGCCCGCGTGGTCGATGCTCAAGGCGGACCTGCTAGCAAGCGTCATCATGGGCCAGGAAGACATCTGCCAGTCGTCGTGCGCCAACGTGACGGGCTCCATGCCCGAGGCGATGGTGGCGCACCGCACGGCGAGCGGGCGCAACGCCGAGCTCAAGGCGGCGCTCGGCATGCCGCAGCTGCGCTACCCGACGATGCACCACGGTGCGTCCAAGATGTTTGCCGCGGGCGAGCTCTGATGGGCGCGACGGCAGGAGGCGACGCGGCGTGCGCGTGCGCTGCGGTGGCATCCCGGCGACGAGGACTACCGGTGGCAGCCAAAGAAGATCGAGGCCTTTGCTGGCCAGCCCGTCGTCGCCGTGTCGGCTGGAGGCGAGCACAGCCTCGCCCTGACCGACGACGGCGCCGTCTGGAGCTGGGGCTTTGGACTCTTTGGCGAGCTGGGCCACGGCGACCAGCAGATTCAGCTGCTGCCAAAGAAGGTCGAGGCCTTGGCTGGCCAGCGCGTCGTCGCCGTGTCGGCTGGAGGCGAGCACAGCCTCGCCCTCACCGCCGACGGCGCTGTCTTTACCTGGGGCGATGGCGGACTCGGCCGCTTAGGCCACGGAGAGGACATGTCGGACCAGACGCTGCCCAAGAAGATCGAGGTGTGGGCGAGCCGGCCGAGCACGCCAGCCTACTGGCTGCCAGCCTCTTCTGACGGCAGCGAGGAGGACGAGTAGCTGAAATCGACGGGAGGATCGGTTCCTTTCATTGCGGGCGAGGGAGCGCCGCGCGTCCAGACACCCTCAGACAGCCGCACAGACTGGTGGTCCCGACAGAGACACCCCGGTCCGCGTCGGTAGTTGCGTGGTTCATGCATGGGTCCATGCGGCCGCCTGTGGTGTTCACGCGAGCATAGTTTTCCAGAGACCCAGTCTCAGAGACGAGAGAGCATCGTATTTTTTGCGCAGAAACCGCTCTCAGCCCGCTCCCTCCCCAACCTCGCCCCAAGTCCCGCGCGGCGCACCACCAGAACCGTCCCGCTGGCGCTGCTCCACACCCGCGGCGCACACTTGCACCCCCCTGAAACGCGATTGCGGCAACACACGCGAGGCTCAACCAAGCGTCGGCCGCACGCGAATTACGCCCACCAATCCCCTCTTCCTCGCCAATACCCCTGTCCACCCTTGACCCTTCCGCTTCCCCCTCGTGCCGCCGGCGATTCCTGCGCCGCCGGCCGCAACGTCCCGGCCTCGAGTCCCTCCCTCCTCGTTCGCTCACTCGTCGTCCTCGTCGTCCTCGTCCTCGTCGTCCTCAATCCCCTCGGGCGGGCCGCCGACCCTCCGCCGGAGCATCAGACGCCCATGAGTGCGCTGGTAACGGGTACTCTTAAATCTAAGTCTTTCCAAGATAACGCTCCTAAGCGCTAAGTTTGCACGCATTGCGCTCCACGCGTGCTCCAATCCACCCAGGCGGTGGCCCCTTTTGCACTGGCATACGCCGCTACTAACCGACATTAGCATGTGCTATAGGTGTACCTGTGTTGTGCCAGTGTGTGCGCGCCAGTATTTTTGAACCAAGAGAATTCCAGCCCTCTCTCCAGCCGCGAAGGCGCTCATCCCAGCCAACCCTGCTCGCCGGGCCAACGCTCATACACATATGTGCGGCCGCGCCGCCATCGCCTTTGCCGCCGACCGAATCGTCTCCGAGCTACGCGCCGCGGGTGTGCAGGCGCTGCCTCGCGTCTCTCCTTCCCCCGAGCCGTACCACGTGGGCTCCAAGTCGTGCGAGGAGAGGACGAAGCGCAACCCAAAAGGCGTCCGAGGCGTGGAGGGCTGGCCGTGCCTCGTCAGGCAGGGCGACGAGCTCGCTGTGCGCACGCTCACCTGGGGCATCCAGCGGCTGGCGACGCACAACATCTGGCTGGACGGAGGCGACTGGCTGCAGCGCAAGACGTGGCGAGAGGCTCTCGCGGCCGGCCGCCTATGCGCGGTCGCGGTGACCGCCTTTGCCGAGGGCGTGACCTGCCGCAAGCCGGACGGCGAGCACCCGCTCTTCTTCCTCGCCGCGCTGTACTGCGGCTCGCACTTTGTCATTTTGACGACCAACAGCGTCAACGTGCCTCTGCTCGCGGAGCGCGCAAAGCCGCAGGCGCTGCACGGCGTCCCGACGCGCTGCCCGCTCTACCTCGACGCGGCGGGCGCGCAGCGGTGGCTCAGCGTGCCGCCCGACGTCGATGCCATCGCCGCCGCCGTCGGACGGATCGAGGCGAGCCTGAGGCTCGGCCCAGCCGGCACGCACCCTCCCTGAGGACCGGTGATACGGCTGATGGGTGGCTGTCCTGTCGCCCACTAGGCGACCCTGTGGCAAGGCGGCGCCTCGGCCCCCCGCCTCGTGCTCGGGGCAAAGGGAGGCCGGCAGCAAGGCGGCAGACCACCGCAGCAAAGTGGCCCCGGCGCTAGTGCGTCGCCGCCGCCGGCGAGCCCGCGGGTGGGCGGCAAGCGCAGCGGTAGCAACAGCGGCGGCTGCGGCGCGAGCGGCGGCGGCGGCGCGAGCGGCGGCGGCGGCGCGAGCGGCGGCGGCGGCGGCGGCGAGCGGCTCTTTGGGGGAGCGAAGAAGGCGAGACGGCAGGAGGCGGCGCCGGCGACGGCGGCGGAGGAGGAAGAGGCGCTGCAGCAAGCCATCGCGCTCAGTCTCGGCTACGGCGGCGGTGCGGCGGGCGGCGCGGCGGGCGGTGGAGGTGCGTCTGTGTCTGCGATTGCGCCAGCAGCGACCACGTCGGGCTGCGCTGCGGCTGCCGGCGAGGCTGGTGGGGACGCCATCGACCTGACCGGCTCCACCACTGAGGAGGACGGGGAGACCGAGGAGGAGGAGCCGCCGCCGCCGCCGCCGCCCTCGGGGGAGCCGTCGCCGGCAGAGAGGGCCGCGGAGGCGGCGGCGCGCCGAGCTGCCGCCGCCACCGGCACCGCCGCCTCCGACGCCTGAGATGCGCTCGCAGGTGGGAGCCCGAAAGTTGTTGCGATGGGGCGCTATGTAGACACGGCCGCGTTGCTCTGTCCCCCGGTAGTGCGGTAGAAGCCGCTAAGGCGTTCGAGAGCGACCCATTTGTTCCGTACTCGCATGATGCGTGCTATGAGCCGTGTGTTGTCTATGTATATGTGTGTGATAACCAGCGCAGTACGGCTTTACGTAGAGCGGGTCCGCATTCCAATTTCTTTTTTTCTAGTGTGCCAAATAAATAAATAAATAAAAACGGACACCTCTACTAGGAGATGGGTAAAAAGGAACAGAGGTCCCCGCCCGTGCGATCTTTATGTGCAGGGTTCTTTTGTGGGTGTGGTCGGCGACACTAGCCGGGGTCGTCCTCCCGACGGGGGGGACTACGACTAAAGGGTGTGGATGCTGGGTTGACCGAAATCGGGGGACGCGACCCACTTCGCCACAGACGGTCCCGCGCCTCGCCGCTATGACGGGTATACGACCGCGGCTCGCAGGGAGTCGGCCGGCGCGAAGCGACGACCGCCGAGCTTTAGGTCGCCGACATCCAGCCGGAGCTGCGAGTCCACACGGAAGCCTCTAGGGCGAATTCACTGGGACAGTGATTTCGCAGAGACTACCTCATTTGCTGCTCCCCCCATGAAGGGGGGTTTGTGTGGGAAGCCAAGGGAGGTTAATGGCTTCCCACATTTGTGATGGGTCGAAATCGGCCCGCCGCATTGATGGTCGAATCGGTGTAACGAATCGAGAGAGAGAGACGCGAGGGCCCAAGAGGCCCGTGGGCTCGCCTGCAGAGCGTCTCTCTCTTGCCATTCTGCTTGTCTGTTTTGTGGCCTCTTCTCTCGTCTGTCGGTGTTTTGTTGGGGTTGGAAGGGGTTGGCACGGGGGTGGAAGGCCACCTCCAGAAGCAACAGCAACGTGTTCGAGCGTCAACCATATTCGTCGTCGGGAAGTGGTTCCGATACGTGATTCTGGTAGGCTGGAACACGCTGACGGTAAAGAGGCCGCAACGCATGGGCTTAGCGGATCTCTCAAGGAGATCGCTACAGCACGGAGCAGCGTCAAGGGAGCTGGCAGAGGTTGGAGCGACTGCGATGTGGAGGCAGAGCCAATACTTGCTCAAGTTAGTCTTGACGCTGCGGACGACAGGATTTGCTGGGGCGGCATCACGCCGCCTGGCATGTCTCGGCGCGGCGCCGAGGCACAGAGCCGCTGCGAGGCAGCGGCGGCAAGGCACGGCGGCGAAAGCACCATCGCCGGGCAGTCTCGGGGTGGCGTGGAGGGCCACTCGAGCTCTGCCGGCGGTGCGGCCGCCGCTCACGGGCACGCGACGCGAGGAGGCGTCGCCGAGGGCGTCGACGAGGCGCTCGACGAGGCGCGGCCGCGGGCCGGGTCCTCTCGGAGCCGCGGAGGCGCCGCTGCAGGCGGCGGCGGCGAGAGCGAGGTCAGCAGGCAGAGCGGCTGTGGCGGTGAGGGCCATGCGGGCTCTGCTGCCGGCTCGCTCGCCTCTCTCGTGGACGCGACGGCCGGGACAGCCGTCGCTGCAGCCGGCGGCACCGCGCCGCCTGACGAGCCGCGTCCGTGGACAGCGGCGAGCACCCGCTGCTGGGCGAGAGCAGCGGCTCAAGTCGGCGTCGATGGCGCCGTCGCCGCAAAGCGTGATCGAGATCGCTTTGGCGGAGGCGCGAGCGACGTGGTGCACGACGAGGGGGCGGGCCTCGTCTCGGTGGGCTGCGGCGGGCCGCCTGGCATGTCTCGGCTCGGCGCCGAGGCACAGAGCCGCTGCGAGGCAGCGGCGGCAACGCGCGGCGACGAAAGCACCATCGCCGGGCAGTCTCGGGCTGGCGTGGAGGGCCACTCAAGCTCTGCCGGCGGTGCGGTCGCCACGAACGGGCACGCGACGCGAGGAGGCGTCGCCGAGGGCGTCGCCGAGGCGCTAGGCGAGGCGCGGCCGCGGGCCGGGACCTCTCGGAGCCGCGGAGGCGCCGCTGCAGGCGGCGGCGGCGAGAGCGAGGTCAGCAGGCAGAGCGGCTGTGGCGGTGAGGGCCATGCGGGCTCTGCTGCCGGCTCGCTCGCCTCTCTCGAGGACGCGACGGCCGGGACAGCCGTCGCTGCAGCCGGCGGCACCGCGCCGCCTGACGAGCCGCGTCCGTGGACAGCGGCGAGCACCCGCTGCTGGGCGAGGGCAGCGGCGCAAGTTGGCGTCGATGGCGCCGTCGCCGCAAAGCGTGATCGAGATCGCTTTGGCGGAGGCGCGAGCGACGCGGTGCACGACGAGGGGGCGGGCCTCGTCTCGGTGGGCGGCGGCGGGCCGCCTGGCATGTCTCGGCTCGGCGCCGAGGCACAGAGCCGCTGCGAGGCAGCGGCGGCAACGCGCGGCGGCGGAGGCACCATCGACGGGCAGTCTCGGGGTGGCGTGGAGGGCCACTCGAGCTCTGCCGGCGGTGCGGTCGCCACGAACGGGCACGCGACGCGAGGAGGCGTCGCCGAGGGCGTCGACGAGGCGCTCGGTGAGGCGCGGCCGCGGGCCGGGTCCTCTCGGAGCCGCGGAGGCGCCGCTGCAGGCGGCGGCGGCGAGAGCGAGGTCAGCAGGCAGAGCGGCTGTGGCGGTGAGGGCCATGCGGGCTCTGCTGCCGGCTCGCTCGCCTCTCTCGTGGACGCGACGGCCGGGACAGCCGTCGCTGCAGCCGGCGGCACCGCGCCGCCTGACGAGCCGCGTCCGTGGACAGCGGCGAGCACCCGCTGCTGGGCGAGAGCAGCGGCGCAAGTCGGCGTCGATGGCGCCGTCGCCGCAAGGCGTGATCGAGATCGCTTTGGCGGAGGCGCGAGCGACGCGGTGCACGACGAGGGGGCGGGCCTCGTCTCGGTGGGCGGCGGCGGGCCGCCTGGCATGTCTCGGCTCGGCGCCGAGGCACAGAGCCGCTGCGAGGCAGCGGCGGCAACGCGCGGCGGCGGAGGCACCATCGCCGGGCAGTCTCGGGGTGGCGTGGAGGGCCACTCGAGCTCTGCCGGCGGTGCGGCCGCCACGCACGGGCGCGCGACGCGAGGAGGCGTCGCCGAGGGCGTCGACGAGGCGCTAGGCGAGGCGCGGCCGCGGGCCGGGTCCTCTCGGAGCCGCGGAGGCGCCGCTGCAGGCGGCGGCGGCGAGAGCGAGGTCAGCAGGCAGAGCGGCTGTGGCGGTGAGGGCCATGCGGGCTCTGCTGCCGGCTCGCTCGCCTCTCTCGAGGACGTGACGGCCGGGACAGCCGTCGCTGCAGCCGGCGGCACCGCGCCGCCTGACGAGCCGCGCCTGTGGACAGCGGCGAGCACCCGCTGCTGGGCGAGGGCAGCGGCTCAAGTCGGCGTCGATGGCGCCGTCGCCGCAAGGCGTGATCGAGATCGCTTTGGCGGAGGCGCGAGCGACGCGGTGCACGACGAGGGGGCGGGCCTCGTCTCGGTGGGCGGCGGCGGGCCGCCTGGCATGTCTCGGCTCGGCGCCGAGGCACAGAGCCGCTGCGAGGCAGCGGCGGCAGCGCGCGGCGGCGGAGGCACCATCGCCGGGCAGTCTCGGGGTGGCGTGGAGGGCCACTCGAGCTCTGCCGGCGGTGCGGCCGCCACGCACGGGCACGCGACGCGAGGAGGCGTCGCCGAGGGCGTCGACGAGGCGCTAGGCGAGGCGCGGCCGCGGGCCGGGTCCTCTCGGAGCCGCGGAGGCGCCGCTGCAGGCGGCGGCGGCGAGAGCGAGGTCAGCAGGCAGAGCGGCTGTGGCGGTGAGGGCCATGCGGGCTCTGCTGCCGGCTCGCTCGCCTCTCTCGAGGACGCGACGGCCGGGACAGCCGTCGCTGCAGCCGGCGGCACCGCGCCGCCTGACGAGCCGCGTCCGTGGACAGCGGCGAGCACCCGCTGCTGGGCGAGAGCAGCGGCGCAAGTTGGCGTCGATGGCGCCGTCGCCGCAAAGCGTGATCGAGATCGCTTTGGCGGAGGCGCGAGCGACGCGGTGCACGACGAGGGGGCGGGCCTCGTCTCGGTGGGCGGTGGCGGGCCGCCCGGCATGTCTCGGCTCGGCGCCGAGGCACAGAGCCGCTGCGAGGCAGCGGCGGCAACGCGCGGCGGCGGAGGCACCATCGACGGGCAGTCTCGGGGTGGCGTGGAGGGCCACTCGAGCTCTGCCGGCGGTGCGGTCGCCACGAACGGGCACGCGACGCGAGGAGGCGTCGCCGAGGGCGTCGACGAGGCGCTCGACGAGGCGCAGCCGCGGGCCGGGTCCTCTCGGAGCCGCGGAGGCGCCGCTGCAGGCGGCGGCGGCGAGAGCGAGGTCAGCAGGCAGAGCGGCTGTGGCGGTGAGGGCCATACGGGCTCTGCTGCCGGCTCGCTCGCCTCTCTCGTGGACGCGACGGCCGGGACAGCCGTCGCTGCAGCCGGCGGCACCGCGCCGCCTGACGAGCCGCGTCCGTGGACAGCGGCGAGCACCCGCTGCTGGGCGAGGGCAGCGGCTCAAGTCGGCGTCGATGGCGCCGTCGCCGCAAAGCGTGATCGAGATCGCTTTGGCGGAGGCGCGAGCGACGCGGTGCACGACGAGGGGACGGGCCTCGTCTTGGTGGGCGGCGGCGGGCCGCCCGGCATGTCTCGGCTCGGCGCCGAGGCACAGAGCCGCTGCGAGGCAGCGGCGGCAACGCGCGGCGGCGGAGGCACCATCGCCGGGCAGTCTCGGGGTGGCGTGGAGGGCCACTCGAGCTCTGCCGGCGGTGCGGTCGCCGCTCACGGGCACGCGACGCGAGGAGGCGTCGCCGAGGGCGTCGACGAGGCGCTCGACGAGGCGCGGCCGCGGGCCGGGTCCTCTCGGAGCCGCGGAGGCGCCGCTGCAGGCGGCGGCGGCGAGAGCGAAGTCAGCAGGCAGAGCGGCTGTGGCGGTGAGGGCCATGCGGGCTCTGCTGCCGGCTCGCTCGCCTCTCTCGAGGACGCGACGGCCGGGACAGCCGTCGCTGCAGCCGGCGGCACCGCGCCGCCTGACGAGCCGCGTCCGTGGACAGCGGCGAGCACCCGCTGCTGGGGGAGAGCAGCGGCGCAAGTTGGCGTCGATGGCGCCGTCGCCGCAAAGCGTGATCGAGATCGCTTTGGCGGAGGCGCGAGCGACGCGGTGCACGACGAGGGGGCGGGCCTCGTCTCGGTGGGCGGCAGCACGCCGCCTGACATGTCTCGGCTCGGCGCCGAGGCACAGAGCCGCTGCGAGGCAGCGGCGGCAACGCGCGGCGGCGGAGGCACCATCGCCGGGCAGTTTCGGGGTGGCGTGGAGGGCCACTCGAGCTCTGCCGGCGGTGCGGTCGCCACGCACGGGCACGCGACGCGAGGAGGCGTCGCCGAGGGCGTCGACGAGGCGCTCGACGAGGCGCGGCCGCGGGCCGGGTCCTCTCGGAGCCGCGGAGGCGCCGCTGCAGGCGGCGGCGGCGAGAGCGAAGTCAGCAGGCAGAGCGGCTGTGGCGGTGAGGGCCATGCGGGCTCTGCTGCCGGCTCGCTCGCCTCTCTCGAGGACGCGACGGCCGGGACAGCCGTCGCTGCAGCCGGCGGCACCGCGCCGCCTGACGAGCCGCGTCCGTGGACAGCGGCGAGCACCCGCTGCTGGGCGAGAGCAGCGGCTCAAGTCGGCGTCGATGGCGCCGTCGCCGCAAAGCGTGATCGAGATCGCTTTGGCGGAGGCGCGAGCGACGCGGTGCACGACGAGGGGGCGGGCCTCGTCTCGGTGGGCTGCGGCGGGCCGCCTGGCATGTCTCGGCTCGGCGCCGAGGCACAGAGCCGCTGCGAGGCAGCGGCGGCAACGCGCGGCGACGAAAGCACCATCGCCGGGCAGTCTCGGGGTGGCGTGGAGGGCCACTCGAGCTCTGCCGGCGGTGCGGTCGCCACGAACGGGCACGCGACGCGAGGAGGCGTCGCCGAGGGCGTCGACGAGGCGCTCGACGAGGCGCAGCCGCGGGCCGGGTCCTCTCGGAGCCGCGGAGGCGCCGCTGCAGGCGGCGGCGGCGAGCGCGAGGTCGGCAGGCAGAGCGGCTGTGGCGGTGAGGGCCATACGGGCTCGGCTGCCGGCTCGCTCGCCTCTCTCGAGGACGCGACGGCCGGGACAGCCGTCGCTGCAGCCGGAGGCACCGCGCCGCCTGACGAGCCGCGTCCGGGACAGCGCACGAGCACCCGCTGCTGAGAACGTACCGTCAATAGAAA